GCACTTTACCTCAGAGAGAAACCTGTCAGGATGGATGACTGCACTATCTGTTGTTTTCAGGTTCTGCAGTATTAAGAGGTCCAGCATGCTGTGGTAAAGTTTTCACTATAACTTGTAAATATGTAAACAATGTAAACAAAGACGCACCGACCCTCAGCCAAGAAAACTTTCCCAAAGGAGACAATAAAGTACACTGCATTTGCATTGGCTGTATTGTAGCGTACGGTGTCGTGTCATAAACCTCCTGACCATCCATAGATTTTTTTAAATGATCCAAACATGCTGCTGTGCTACTTTACTGCCAGTCCTGACGGCGGTCCTGTAATAAGCTCACATCAGGGATACGTGAACTGCATATGAGACAAAATGTTGCATGAGAATGAACTTTCTCACAAGTTGAATAACTTCCTTATAAAACATGACTGCCTCAGTGTGAGAAACTCAGCGAGCCGAACAGCCATCAGATAAAGTCACGAGGAAACTGAGGTGAGATATCTCAGACGAAAGCAGCTTGTTTGTAGTGGGATTATAAATATGCAGGTTTAGGGGTGTAACTGCAGCAAATACTACATTTACACACAAATAGTCGCTTTGTAATAATTACACACAATAATATAAATGATTTCTGTGCAGGGCCTGAGAGCAAGGACGATGTGCCATAATGTGTTTGGGAGCATGTGAACTATATATAAGAAGCAGTTTATGAGGTGTTCATTCTAATAATATAATCTCACACCTTGGCGTGCAGGTGTTCAGGCAGCGGCTTGCGGGTCACCCACGGGTCCATGGAGTAAAGGTTTGGGTCGCGGTCCGACAGCTCGATGCGTCGCGGCGTCAGCAGCTTCCTGCGTGTGAACTCCAGCTCGTCGTCGTGGACGTTGCTGACGTCAGTGACATCGTAGCCGATCAGGTAGTTCAGGTAACGCTGGTACTGCTGAGACTCATCCGAGGGCTGCGGACGGGGAACCAGCTGGATCCGCCCCACGTCCTTCTTCAGAGCTTTGGAAATACAAGACACGTGTTTTACATCATCAAAACCCCCCAAAAGCACACCAGCTCTGTTTGTGACTGCAGGAGCAGCATCTTGGTACCTCTCCAGTAGCGAATGCAGTCTAGAGTCTGGAAGACCTGGTGCTTGTCGTAGATCTCACAAACGTTGCCTTTCTTCTGGTAGAGCAGGATGCAGTGGTCTGGAGAAAACCGCTGGTAGAAGTCAGGACAGAGATTTAAGGTCACGGCCTTCAGCCACACCTGAGCTTTCACCTGGGAAACAACAAATACGCATGAGAATCTATTTCATCCAATCACTACAACTCATGTCTAAAGGCACAAATTATCCCCGTTTGTGCCAATAAACAAGCCAATAAGCCGACCTGCTCTACGGTCCAGTTTCCAGCCACCTCCAGCAGCAGGGAGTCGGGGCCGTTTCCGCCCCTCGCCGCCGTGGGCAGCACAAACTCTACCGAGATCTGATCCATGGAGGAGCAGGACGATGAGGTGATGGCTTTCTTTCTCCTCCTCCTCCTTCGGTTCTCTTCTCGCAGGACTTCAGGCTCTTCGTCGCTCACCTGGATCTGCTGCCCGTCCATCGCCTAGCTTGAGGAGGATAAGGAGAGATGGAAACAGAAAAACACAACATGCTGGTCAAGCTGTGGTCATGTACAGCGGTCGACTGATGTCGCTTTTGATGTCATATTTTTGACAAGCAGAAGAATCAGGAATGTAAACACATCAACAAGAGACAGACATTTGTAGCTGCAGCCACCTGTTTTAGATCCATCAGAAAACTTTCAGAGCTACTGATTATCATCAGTAACTTCTATTCATTTGTCCAGTCACAGGGAAACTATTCTAATAAGGTCTTGTTTCTGTAGCTGGCTCTATTTTCTGGTGAAATAGGAAGCAGAGATGGGATGTGATAACTAACAAATGCTAACAGAGAGGCCATTTACTCCTGCTCTGACTAAACAAATTAATGCAGCGTTATTGATCGATTTCACTATTAATCAAATGCTCTTTAAATCACTTTGTCCATAAAATGCAGGCGGGCAGCTTTGGAAACTATTATTTCACCACTACGGCCACTGTTTTCTTTTGTGGTTGTTGGTGGAGACAAACTGTGTTTTGAATGTAATGGAAGCTGTTTTACTGAATCTAAGTGACGTCTCTCTCTGTATTTTCTCTTTGTTAAGCACTGAGATAGCGTTCTTCTCGTCATCTTGCAGTCCCCTTCTGTTAGGTATTGTTAAGTGATTATTTGGGTTGGATTAAGCGTTCACTTCACAGTTTAAACACAAAATAATGACTCAAAAAATGTGTCATCTTGTGTGGATTTCAACACTTCTACACTTTCATTAAACCGTGTTTTTAAACATAATTTACTGTTATTATAAGGCATGTTAAGCTTTTTAGAAGATGCTGTAATTATTTAACCATGATGATAAAATTCTCACCAAATGGTCAATACTGAAGGCCTGCTGTGTGGACTTTGTGAAGAAAAACGAAAAGGTGGGCAAAAAATTCATTAAAAAACTGTAAAAGTAGAAAATGTAGAAAACTATAAGGTCACAACAAATACGTATATAATTGGGTGACTGTTTAAAATTAATTTTAAAAACTATTTCTACTCAACCAGCCCTGATTTGCCTGAAAATTTACAGCCTAAACATTTATAAAGATTTCTGTGAAAGTTTAGATTTAAATTAAATAACTTGAGTGTTTGTTTTTTTTTACCATTGACATTTGAGGCTATGTTTGAACGACAATATCTCCGACGCTATTAAAGATAAAAACATGAGATTATCTGTTATTTCTCATCCTGTCATTGATTCAGAATCGAGGACAAATATATCAAATAATCTCCAATTACGGGTAACTTGAAATATTTTTTAAAAAGCCATCATGAAAAGTGTCATCTTAAGCCATCCTAGTGATATTTTCTGGACCACATGTAGCTACATGTCACACTAATCACATAACAAAACATAGAGAATACTGTTTAATATGAAATAATTGGCCACAAAACTGAAAAGAAACCTACTTTAGTTGAACTTTCAGAACTGATTGACATTTATGACATATTGGACCAAAAAACATATTAGTAGAAAGCCTGATCTAAGTAGAACAGGACTTGTCATATTTCTAACATAATCACACAATAAAAACTGATACTATCTTAAATAATCCCTGTTTAGTTATATTAAAAAAACAAGGTTCAATTAAATCAGAGATCATCAAGCAGGAGGCCTCTGATCATTTGAGAGGGAACAATAATTTAAAAAATGACATTTCATTTTTATTCCACAGATGGTGACGGCTCTGTGACATTGGATCTATATTGGAAAAAACAATAAACGATCAAAAAACACATCTCTCTCTGTTAAAACCCAAAAAGATTCAGGTTCTAATGACAGAAAACAAGTATTGACACTCGTCTCACTTCTAAACTGCACTCCACAAGTGAACAACAACAAAAATGATGACTATATGGATGATAAGCTCGTGTTTAGCTGTGAATGTGGTGTTTAACTGAAATACAGGCCAGATCACTATATGAACAGAATCAGAAATGTGGGTTTTGTAGGACATGATGGCAGTATTATTAAAAACAACATGATGGATTAGTAGTTTCAACAGTGTAGTCTGACTTTTTATAAACTCCTGGGTCCCTACTAAGAACTCTGACTACACTAAAGTGAAGATTAAAATCCTGTCCACAGTCTGAAGTGTTCAGAAGTCATAGGATTGCTGCTGGAGTTTCCCTTCTGCTTCTTTCACATCAGCAGAGGAAGCTTTGAAAAGCAGGAAGCAAAAAGCAGCCGCAGCATGGATGAACTAAAACTGTACACAGACTGTGTGCTGTGTTCACAAACACCTTCAGGTCCGCTCATAAAACTCACTTTGACCGCTCACTGGGCAGTAAATTAAAGCGTACATGAGGAGGAACAGTGTCGGAGCTGGTTAGCCTGCGGTGTAACGGTACAGCTGCCCGAATAATCACAGACAAGAAATAAGAGAGTAAAGCTGCTGCTGCTGACTCACCAATGAACGCAGACGGCAACGAAAGCCCGAACCGTGGAGGAAGACTTCGGCATTTATGCTAAATGAAGAGAGCACAGACTGAGTAAAACTGTTTCTGAGTTTGTGTCCAAAGCCTGGATGAAGGAAATGCTGCGTTTCTACCCACAGCGGTTGTCAAACTCACCGGTTAACTTTCTCTAGTCACAACAGGAACAGCACATCCGGCTTCCCTTCAAAATAAAACACCAGCCCAGCGTCATAAGGCAAACCCACAAACCTAAAACTACAAAAATGTGTTTTTTAAGGATAATAAAGGAGAAATTGTGATCTGTTGTTGAAAATGGGACTTAGAAAACGTCCTTGTCCTTAACAACAACAACAACAACAACAACAACAACAATAATAATACAATAAACTTTATGTATAGAGCACTTTTCAAAACAAATGCTTCAAAGTGCTTTCCAATAAACATAAATTGAAATTGAAATAAAACAAAGCACACAGATTAAGATAAAAATAGAATAACAACAAAATAAAGCACACAAATTATTAGTAGTAGTATAATAAGTCTATGACTACTTTAGCATTATTAAATAATAACATTTGTCCTGGTTTAAATATTGTCTTATCATGATGGTAAATAATCAGAAGGTTAAAAATAAAGATATGTGAGAAAGGTGCTGTGCTTTAGTAAACTGATGCTCAGAAAACATTGTGCAAGGCACGTGTTCAGGACACCAGAGGTGACGTTTTGATGTGAACATGACACACAGCTCCTGAACATGAAGACAGAATCAGGCGATTATGAAACATTAGTGGCTCTGCGATGCACATTAGGTAAGTAAATGGATTTGGTGACAATGCTTAGTTAGTGCACTGTGGATGAATAATTTAGAATAAATCAGTAAATGTGGTTGTCAGAAAAATGATCCACCACACAGACTGCAGGATGTGTCTGCATCAACACAAAAACAGACACACAAAAGATTAATTTACCTAAAATGAGGATGAATTTACATTTTTGAAAATCCTCCTTAGGAATGACTAGTTTAAAATTAACATGGGATAGTATTAAATGTGTGACTAAAGTTGACCTCTTTCAGTCTTTTATTTTGTAAACGTTTCATTGCTATGTATTGTTGTAAAGATATAAAATGATCAACAGGAAATCTTCACATGTGATCGTGTCTAACTTGATTTTTCCTGTCTTCTTGTAGTTCCACACTGTGACCACTTGAGGACAGTGACACTAAACATTATGTTAATTATCAGTGACATTGTACAACTGTTTTATTTACATTTTTTTATTGATGTTATTTTTTTTACTATTGATTTTAGACATAATTTTACTGTGATCAGGCCACTTCTGTATTGTTTTAAAGACTTTCTGACTATAAAGATGTGTTACTCTCACACCTAAACAAAAATTGTCTTGCATGGTGACTAAAACTTTAAATCATCTTTTACTTAGTAATTCTGTTTATTTAAAGAAATTTAAACCCATTAACTGGTTCAGTGTGCTAAACTGACTCCAGGATTGGCTCAAAGTGTGACGTAACTGCAACACATTGATTATTCACTCATTTAACACAATAGTTGTTGTCTGTGCAGATTTGATTTGCAGATTAATTTGCCAAAAAAACACAACATCACACAGCAAACTCTGCCATGTGTTGGACACTCTGACTATGGTTTTACTTTGTCCTTCCTGCAGCAGTGACACAACTATAATTACACTAAAGAATGTACTTAAGGTCTTTATATAGCAGTTACAAACATGTGTCTGAAACAACAAGAGTAGGCCAGGAAAGGTTTATTTGGCTGAAACTGTTTGATCCATTACAGCTGATAAGAAGTCTGTCTCCTGCTATTCACATTCATTTATAATTACAGAGAACTTCACGTACTCTAGAGACTATCAAGAGTCAATAAACAGATGATGGTTTCTCTTTCGTTTCACAGTGTGTTGAAAAGCAAATGTGTTCATTATACGGGGGGTTAGATGTTTTTTTTGTTTTTTTTACTGCCAGTTGTGGCTCTTTGCCATGTTTCACCATTTGAACCCACCCAGTGTTTTATTGTTGTGGTGATGATAATGAAGACAGCAAGCTAGCGCTGAACTGACCAATGAGAGCGCGAGAATCCGTTGATTGACACCACGTCCAGCCAATAGGAGAGCTTGAGAAACTGTGTTTATACCAGCCCCCTTTTCCGTACAAGGCGACTGTTTTGGTGAGTTAAGGAAAGTTCATTGAAATCATTTATGGGTTTTAAAGCGTCGAATTTAAGAAGTGACTTTACAATTTGAATGATTTTTTCTTAAACTTGGTATAGGAGTAACAACGTGAAGCTGACAACGTTTGTTTCTGGTCGTAAATACAGTTTCGCTTGTCGCTCCGTAAAGCTTCATTGTTGACGTTAGTTGTTTTGTTGTAATACCTTTTGCGCAATAGGATGGAGCGTCCATTTTACTCCGTTTAATCACATTTTCACACTCCGAAATCCGTCGTGACATTAATTTGTCGGCTAAATTAGCGGCAACACAGCTTTTGGTCGTCTTTTCCTCTGTTGGTCGACGTAACAACAGGATTTCAACGGCACTTTGTTTCGTGACAAATAGCGCAGCTTCGTCTGAAGTTGTACAAAGCGTCAAAACGTTGACAGTCGAAACGTTTAATGCCACTCGACAGTGTCACAACATTAAAGGCGATGTGGGTGATTCATTTGGTGCTTTTTTTACTCGTTTTGACCGTTTAATTCAGTTGTATTGTCGCTGCCCTTCTCGGTATTGAATGAATGAGCTTTTGTGCGCATGCGCGCAGGATCTCAAAAGTTTATAAACAAGACGTGGTCACATGACGAGAAAAATTATGAAATATATAAATATATTAGAGGGGAACGCGTTGTTATCGTGTGTACGTGTTTGAAATTGAACACTTTGAAACACTGTATATTACTATATTCTTACATTATCTTATATTCTTCTTACATTTTTCCTGAATAGTGAACTTGAGCTGTGAAAATGTGTCTAAACTTAGGAGTGTTATGAGGTAACCAGTGTTACCCTATGTCACCCCAACCATTTATAGCCTATACATTACAGCTCAGTGGAGGATTATGTTTCTGTGTACGACTGTGGGCGGGTGGCGCAGTGGGATTTTGGAACATGGCCAGTGTGGATACATATGTTTAGATTAGCCTTACCTCTGGGTCATGTGTTTTAAAACCTTAATAATTATTAAAACAAACAAAAAAAAAAAAGTAGAATGTGTCAGTGTATCAGTCTGCTCTCTACATGTTTCAGTGAGTGGACATGATGGTGTGGGAGGTGGTGACTCCAGCTGTGCTGCCAAGTGATCCCAAATATCACAACCTGCAGGAGCCCGAGCCTCAGGCTGAACACACAGGTAACCACAGAGCAGAGGGCTGCAGCTGCTACACTTCCATTACTGACACAGAACTCTTAAAGGGGCACTACAGGGGTTTAGCGTTGCACTACGGTAAAGTTAAGGAATTCATAAAAAGATGGATAACAAAGAGAGGTCGACAATCACATTATACCGACTTTGGATCCCCAGTATTAAGTGAAATTGTAAAAAATCCTAAAGTGCCTTGTAGTGTTTTGTCAGACCCTCCCTGTCTGGCTGACAGCTGTGTTTTTACACCTCTACACCTCCTGTCTGTAACAGAGACTTTCCATCAACAGTGTGTATTTTCCGAGGCCATGTCAAAATAACCCTAATGACATCACTAGGGGTCCTTTCTTCAGATTTTGGGAAAAGCAGCAGAGAACAAAATATAATTGAGTGAGTTTATGTTCATGTGTAAAATTGGTGCAGTTTGCCTTTAACTACCAACCAGCTGCTGGATTACTTGTTAAATTTGCAAGTTGTTATCTGCAAACATTATTGTTGTTATCATCTAATATTTAGTGTTAACTTACAGTTACAAATTTAAAATAATAGTTAAAAAAAATACACCACTATTTATAAAATACCCTTTCTTTAATCTAATTTTAGAGTTTTAGAAAGGTTTGTGTCATTTTTCAAAGAAATGTGCTTTCCATACAATAATAAGCAAACTAAAGACCCTTTTAGTCTGGATTTTAATTGATTTTATTCATTTTATTTTAATTATTTCCTTGACTTATTATTTATACATTCTAGTTTGTTTTATGTCTTTTTTACATTCCACTGTTATTTCGGTCTTGTTTTGCTGCTGAGAATGTTTGACTTAGCGTGCCTCTGGCGTTTCCTCATTCTATTTATTAATTTCCTCAACTCCTCGCTGGTGTTTTTATTGAGTCATCATTTACAACACAATTGTTTATGAGGGGATTGGGATTGATGAGGTCGGAGGGCATTGTTTTTTTGTTTCCTTTTGGTTCTCTAAAGCACTTGTGTTCCATCCTATTTGAATGAAAAGTGCTTTTCAAACAAAGCCTGATGGATTAATAATACTTTGGAACTGTGAGTCAGTACATTATACATGATACATTCTAGATGCTACATCCATCTATGAACAAAGCTACTTGTAATTAACCCTGTAAAGCTCCTAACTAGTCCAGGATGCTTCTTACCCCGGTAATCTCCTTGTGTTGCTTTGCTGTCACATTCAGGAATGGTGATGGATACAGATGGAGACCAGTCACATGATCCGCTCCGCTGTGACGAACATTTCCCCTCCTCACCTGACTTTCCCACCAGCGACAGCTACATGGAATATGGTAAAGAGAACATAAGCTAGCATCAGGTTTAACACAGAACAACATGATGCCTGTGGACCCCCAGTTTTCCAGATGATAAATTATCTTTCCGAACTGACCACTTCAGCTGGGGTTTGTTTTCTTCTCCCAGACGACCTCCCAGATCTACAGGAGGTTCGAGAAGAAGCAACAGCAGCACCTGTGTACCAGGTGGAGGTGGGCGTGTCGCACCAGGAGCGACATGCACACGCACACAACTCGCCGCCTCCAGACACACACTGGCTGACGCAGCTGGCACACATCGCCACTGGACCTCAGAGCCCACTGTTACAGGAGCCTCCTCGCAGCAGGTAGGTGCTCTCTGTACTTGAGTCTTATATTCTAAAGATATCATCATCAACAGCAGGACGAATAGTTCTGTGTCTCACAATCCAAACTACAACCTAAAAGAACATAAACAAGCAGTGCAACCCCACCCACCCATTTTTGAATCCCTGCCAAAGAAGTCAAACGTTTTCTTTATCTATGTTTTTAATAACTGCTTTAAGTGTTTCAATATGTGTAATATTTGTACATATAGAAGCAGATGTCAGAGTCAGCCTTGCAACGTGTCACTTGTAATTTGTAGAAAGTAAACTTCTCCTCAGATTGTAAAAATTCCCAGAAACAGCTCTGAGGAAATTCCCTGTGTGCTGTCATGGTAGTGATGGTGGAAACAAAGCTGTATGAATCACCATGAAGCAGTTGTGTTGAAAATGGCTCAATGTTTTGACACATCTGATAAAATCCAAAACCAGCTGGCTCATTCCGTGCTGCTGCCTGGGTACACATGGATTTATTCTGAGACAATAAAATAGTTGGAACACAAGTGAACTTACTGCTTTTATCATGATTTTGTTCAATGAAGCTGATCAGTCACATCAAACAGAGTCGAGAAGTTCTGGTTGAGTAACCTGTTAAACCTCAGCAGGCACTATGACTGGATCTGTTGGTGTTACAGGAACGTCATGAATCTGTGCAAACCGCACATATTACCATGTGTCATTGTTGTCTATTGTAATACAAGGTTTTTCCTGCAAAAAGAAATGTTTGGTGCCTCATCAAAGAGGTTTTAGCCAGCGCCAAAGGAAAACCACCAAATGCTAAAAAAAAAACAACACATTTTTAACCAGTTTTTGTCAACTGTGGCTGCATTTAGTGCAGTCGTTTTTATTTATCAGATGATCAGAAATAACAGGAAAATGCATAGATTTCTGAGTCATGCTTACTGTTGTGTGTAGTCGCCCTCCAAAGGCCCATTCTGATGCAGGAGAAACCCTGTAGTTCGGTGTCAGGGGATTTTCTCAGCATTCACACATCAAAGCCTCTGTCATTTTCAGCCCGTCTTCAGTCTGCATCCCGAGCACCAGCAGTGATCTACATTCCTACGCTCGGCCTCCTCCTCTCCCCAGCAGCACCTTGTCGTCCTCCAGGGGTCACCTCAGGGAGCGCCGGCGCAGCAGGGTAGACCAAACGTTTACTGTATAGTCACTGTCGCTCACCGGAGCCCCCTTACAGCACTACGTCCATTGGAAATGACTGTTAAACACTGAGTTGTTTGGTGTTTAGATCTGTGTGGCTTACAGTATGCATGAAGGCAGCTGATTCGTCCCAGTCGTGCCCGTTCATGCTTCTCCTTCCTGTTTCCACAGAAGAGCAGTGAGTGTGGCTCTGCAGTGTCAACCAGATCCTCTCTGTCTGACGATGAGGACATGGGCTGGAGCTTCTCCTGCCCACCCACCGCCTGGCACTGCTTTGTCAAAGGTAGACACACAAACACACAGTCAGTTCAAGTACAGAAACAAGGCACTGTACTTGAATGTAAATGTACTGAAACAAACAAAAAAAAAGGTAAACATTTACAAGAATCTCAAGGATGTAATGTATTTGTGTGTCATTGACGTGATGAAGAGCTGCTCCTCTCTGTCAACAGGAAGTCATGTACGTTTCCACAGTGGCTCTAATGTGAAGTGGCAGGACGTTGAGGACCTGGAGGAAGACTCTGCTGATGAGGAGCAGTCCAGATTTCTGAAGGTACACTAAACAAGCAGCAGACTGACAGGCATTTATGATACATGTATATTTTCTGATTTAGCATCTCTGGTACGACTTGATAGCTGCAGAGTCTTTAGTTGAGTTTGATATTATTACCAGCAGCACCACCTGCGCTGCATGCTGACAATTAAAGGCAAAACTTGTGTATTGAAAAATTAGCAAGATAAAATAGCACCACATTGTGTAGAAACAACTGCTCGCTCTTTTGCAGAGTTATGGCTCTGAGGGTCTGCAGCTGGTGGAGCATGCAGAGATTGTTTTGTCTGGTCAGGCTGTCCTACAGCTGACCTTTGACCCTGGGGCATTTGGATGTACCCCCATTACTGCCCGCTGCCAACTTGATCACCCCTTCTATGTCAAAAACAAAGGTAAGAGTGTTGTTGAGGAGAAAACACTGAAAGCATTTAAATTAGAACATTATAAAGACTGTTTCACTCTGTCCGTCCTTCTGCCAGGGTGGTCGTCATTCTACCCGAGCCTGACAGTGGTGCATTATGGGATACCATGCTATGAAATGGAAGTAGGAGACGTGTGCCTTCCTCCGGGACACAGAGATGCAAAGCACACGGATGATTCACTGGTCTTTGACACGTTCAAAAGGTAAAGCAGAACACTGTGTAGCTCATGGGTAGTTTTCACTGAAGTCGAATGTACATTAGTTTTTAATTTAGTTAGCGTGTCTTTAAACAACAATCAGGTTTCTTTCTGTAATCATTCATCCTGTTCATACTGGAAACCAGAAAATCATTACATAATGTGTTCTGGTGAAACTGATATGGGGGGTAACATGAATGTAATATGTTAATATTTAACAGACACCTCCACAGCAGCAGCCTTTCCTCATTGAGTTATCTTGTTGAGCTTCAGTGGAAATATAGTTAGTATGGTGAATTTTCTACTAAAACCTTTGGGAGAAATTCACTTGGTCTGTCAAAGTCAGACCACTGAAGGCTCATTTTAGCTTCGCTTTAGATTTGTAGGCCCTGCGATAGACTGGTGACCTGTCCAGGGTGTCCCCTGCCTTTGCCCTAAGTCGGCTGGGATAGGCTCCAGCCCCCCATGACCCTAGTGAGGATTAAGCGGTGGATAGATAATGGATGGATAGATTTAGATTTGTAGTCCACACTGCCCAGAATGAAGATTTTGTTCCCATCATTTACACTGTAAGTGCATTTGACAGAGCCACTATGTATTCCATTATTTTTAAGTGCAATTTGAAGTAGGAAAAGTTCATGGAAACAGCAAAATTCTAAAACATGTCAACAACTTCACAACAGAGTTTCTAAACCCGCTTGAGGTGGTTTATTGCTTTTTTGAAAAAAGCTGTAATGCATTTTTTTGAGGGACAGAAACCTTTTCCAAACAGGTTCTGAACATGTAACTCACATGACTGATCAGCTGTTTCCACTTCTGTTGTTGTGTTTGTCTCCAGACAGCATGAAACATGTCCAATAACAGCTGACATCAAAGAATAATTACAACTTCCTCAACTGAAAATACCTCCATATGACTTCTCTCCATTTTGTTAGTTTCTTCTTCTAAAGCTGGTTTTGTTTCCACCTTCTTCTACTGTTTATTACAACTAATGTATCCTACAGCGCCGCCCTCTGATGACACCACAGCCCAGTTTATCTGCTAAAAGCACTTAATCCAAACAAGTCTTAATTCACAGTTTCTTTTTTAAATTGTGTGCAACATTTCAAAAGTTTGCTTCAAATTCACTTGACGATCATATGGAAACATGGCTAATGACCTTGGATATCTTTAAATATGGTTATAGGCTCAAGAAATTGCAAACTTATCTGTTAAAGCTGTTTTAAACCCAAACTGGCAGAATGCTGTGTTTGAAAGGCCTGTGTTTGTGTGTGTGGCTCTTCCTCAGTTATGACTTCACTCCTCTGGACTCCTCTGCGGTTTACGTGTTGAGCAGTATGGCCAGACGGCGACACGCCTCCCAGTCCAGCGGGGGAGCTGTTTCTCCAGACAGAGACATGTTACAAGGTCCTCTATTATAACCATTCATTGTGTGAATAAACAGAAACATGAGGATAAAATACAAGAATACAGATACAGTCTAGCAAAGCAGAGGATGCACTGCATAAAAAAATAAAAACCAGGCAGCTGTAATTGTCAGGTCTGTGCTTTGATGGTGCTCCTCCAATCTTATGTGAACTGTTTACAACTCACAGACCCGCACAGTCCCAGTCATTCCCACTCCAGTCAGCAAAAGGCAGCCAAAGGCCGGCCTGTCAGCGCACAGGGAGGCAACACTGCCACGCCAACCAAGTGCAAGCGGCCAATGAACGCCTTCATGCTGTTTGCCAAGAAGTTCAGAGTGGAGTACACGCAGATGTACCCAGGCAAGGACAACAGGTAGGTGTAATCCTCCACGTGTGTTGTGAATTTGTATTGTGTATCCGTGTGTGATACGTGATAATGTTTGTGTCTGTGTTGTAGAGCGATCAGCGTCCTCCTCGGCGAGCGGTGGAAGAAAATGCGAAGCGAGGAGCGCCGCGCTTTCACCATACAGGCCAAAGCACTCGCCGACGAGCAGAAGAGACTCAACCCAGACTGCTGGAAACGCAAACGAACCAACTCTGTAGGGACACACACACACACACACACACACACACACACAGAGACACACACACACACACACACACACAGACACACACTGCTTCACTCAGCTTTGTACTTCTCTCTGATTCTTCCTCTTTGTCCAACAGGGTTGTCAAGGAAATTAAGGCTACAGAGAAGAAAAGAGGACAACTGACAGAGCCTGTAGGAGTACAAACACACACTCTCTCACACATATTCAGAAGTGACAAGGAAAAAAAAAACAGCTATGCACAACCCCATCCTATGCTTCAGTACTATATTTAATGTTGTCTTGATCTCCCAAATTTGTGAGATTCTCATGAATCTTGTTACAGTGAAAATCGAGCAGCAGCCTCTGCTTTAGCAAACACTTGAAGCTCCTCTCAAAAAAAAAAGTCACTTCTCTTTTTCTTGCTTTTTTTCGAAGGTGCTACACGTAACATTTTGAAGTGCTACAAATCGTTATTTGTTAATAGGAATTCTAACAAGGTGTCAAACGTTGACCTTTAATGCTGCAGAGCACCGTAGTGTTTCCTACTAGAAGACATTTTTCCAAACGAATCTACAAAGCAGATCAGCGGGTTTTAGCGACGACTGGAGTTCGTCTCCACGCATGATTTTACAGCAATGTGACAATACAAAAAAACACAAGAGACTCTGATTCATTTCGGTTTCTCACTATATGCTTGAAACAGGTGGAAGTTGTGGTGCTGTAACCTTTTAGCCAAAGTAGAGAATGTAGCTATTTTCCCAAAATTATATATATATTACACAATACGAAATATACAATTGATATTTTTTGCCTGTATTATTTGTACTTGGACTCAGTGTTATTGCACAAGACTATATATATATTTTAACTTTGCTTTCATTTAATTTATCGTATAATGTTTAGTTAATAAACTAATGTATACCATAAGTTCTTAATAGGGGCCTGGGTTTTTATTCACCTCACCTAAACAGAGAATAACGTTATTAGAGACAACTGAGTCTAATTTTTACCAGTTTTTAAATTGTTTTATTGTAGTAAAAAGACTCCACTAGCACTTACGTTTTTCCCTGTACAGGTCACTTGTGGAGTTACGGTCAGTGGCACTCACCAAAGCCTAATATGTACATCCTTGAGGATATGTTTAGTGCAGGTTCTTCCTCATAAAACATTTGCAAAGCCAGTTTTTAGGGCACATTGCTGCGTATCCTGGAGCATTACTGCCACCTGTTGATCAGTCATCGGCAGGACTTGTCAGCAGTGTGATCATGATCAAAACCAGGATGGCTTTGGTGCTACTAGAGGTCTAAAACTCCACAAGGAACCTTTAAAAGAACCCCCAGAATTACTACCTAAAGCTGTTATTCTGAAACATGAAAAAAGGGTCGAATTTCTCTCCTTGAGGGAAACAAACAAAGATATATTGTTTTTGGTATTCATGCTGTTGAAATGTTGAATACCTCCGATCCCCTCATTTTCCCTTCTGTTTTTATTAGAGAAGAGCCTTTTATTTGATGATTTGCAGTAATTTAACATCATCAGTACAAATCCAAATGGATGCACATAGTATACATTAAATTTCCATGGTAGCTCAGGCAGCAGGATGAAGTAGGGCTTTGATTTGGACTTGTCAGCTACCTACACTGCTGAAGTGACCCTGAGCAAGACAATGCTTTCCCCCAGCATCTGTAAGGGAAGACAGAAAACACACTCTTCTTGATTTTAACATCTCTGTGTGCCATAATAAGAATCTTTAGCTTTGTTGTATGGAAGTATAATGAAAGATAAATAAATACAGGTGACGGCTGATGAGTGTTCTTGTTGCTCAAAGGTTTAATTACAGCCTTTCCATAGAAAAAAAAATATGGCTCCTGCTGAACCAGTTAGCTACCATAGGTTTGAGACTTTTTTGTTTGTTCTGTTCCTTGATAAAAAGTCTTGCATAGTAAAAAACACAGTGGCTGCCCACTCCCACTCTCTAGCCACTGTCATTCAGGTAGTGTGCACACTGAGAAAAATGTAAACATTTAATGACTCAAATTGAACCAAACTGATATAATCAGTGATCAACAGTTACTGTGAACACTTGGTGGAGCTCACTGAACCAAAGTGGGCTTCACTAGTCATTCAATATGATCAGGAATCAGAGAAAAATACAAGGTTTTTTTTAAAATCAGGATTTTTTGATTTTGTGTGTGTCAGAAATAAGCAAGATAGTTTTCTTTAAATCTCTTTGGATGTGATTACATGCACTTGTAAGCTTCAAAGAGAGAAGAGATGTTTGCATCTTGTGCCCTAGAGGTTGAGGCTGACTTAGAGTTTCAAATAAAAAGGAATATTACGCATGAAGAACTCATTTTTCCTGTCAAACAGCCCTCAAAATTGATTATACGTGTCTGAATATTCTGATCTGGCTCCTGTCAGAAATCAGATGAGGCAACATATCTGTTTATTTATGAAGAATTTTTCCCTGAAAAACAAGACCCAGTGCTGAACAAATATTATCTTTAAGAAAAGAAATCTGCCTTGGTAATGTGATATTACCTCGAGTGCATGTAAACACACCCACTGCAAACATGGTCTGGAATTCAGCAGGTATATGGGAACCCAGCTGTGTGAGGCTTCAGAAATGTCACTTGATTTGATGAGAGTAGGTGTATGTAGATTTATTATCCATGCAAAGTGTGAAGGCAGGATGGGAAAAACCTTTAAATACCCCCAGGATGGGCACTCATATTCTCACTGCATAACGAGGTTTATTCTTAATGCACTATATACACTTTATCTTATGTGACTGCTACAGTATCATGTGTAATGACAAATATTAAAATGATTATATAGAAATATATCTATTTTTTGGTTTGACTTAATCTTTGGTAACTTTTCATGGTTGTGCTTTGGATCATTTTGTCTTTGCTATCATGTCGTGTACAGGTCGATCAGGGGAGACAATGCAATACATTGTGTGATAGTAAAAATAAAAGCGTGATACATCTGCTCTGTGTCTTCACTTGTTTGAGGAGAAATGACTCAGGGTCTAATGTAGACAAGACTTGACAAGAATATCTTTCCCTACCAGCCTAAGTCTGAGCGGGACCACTTCTCCTGCTGTCTCTGACAATATGACACCTACGATGAAAAAGAGACAAGCGAAGGTTTGAAACAAATCTTTAATCTTGTTGCTTTATACATACTGCACCAGTTTATGGCTGGAGATAAAGGTATAGACATGAAGCTGCTACTGTAATCAGAGAGATAAAAAGAGATAACATTCCATTAAAACTATAAACATGATCAATATTTCCAGGCTAAAATTATCAAATAGAATCCACACAGTTATATATGTGTAAATGACTAGAAAATCACTTTTTTTATAGTAAAATAGAAAATATATAGAGGTACAGTATAAACATACAGTAATTTGGCCTTTGAAGTATTCAGGGATATTTACACCAAAAGATTTTTTGACTTCAGTTAGAAGAGATCTAAATCGCTGCCTGTGAATCTGCATCTCCACCTGGGCTGGAAAGAAATCATACACTGGGGGTGCAAAACAGCCACAAAGAGAAGCTGTGACTCTGTCTGAAAGTGAGGCTGACGCAACAGTAACATTTGGACTCCTTCAGAACAGTCGTAGCAAGTAGCAGAGGGATGCAGAGGGATGTGCCGGGATTCAGAGTCTCAGCTGTAAGACCTCAGTGCAGCTGAGGATAAACAGAAGGGAAAGTCTCCCAGAACACTGCTGAATCTAGCTTTAAATTCCATCTTTTCACTCCCTCGTCTCCTTTTCTTCACTGAATATTTGCAACAACACAGTCTCAACTGAACGATGATTGATTTTTCTAAACCTCTGCGTACGCTGATAAGATTTGTTAAAATAATTGGTGTTTTTCATGCTTTATTCCGCTGCAGAAGACCTTCTCTGGTTATTCTGCATTTTGAGCAGAATATCATATCAAATCCCAAATCTTTTACAAACATCTGAGCCTCAAGACATTTTTTCTACTGAGCTCAGCAAGGCAGTGATCGCCTTTAAGAAAATAGATAAAAACGACACATCAATATTTTGGCATATTAGTCGCACATTTGTATCAAAACAGGTTTAAAGTACAAGAACATGAGTTACAAAAGGCACTGGTTACCAGAGACCATGGAGCCAGTGGCAAGGAGACATAAACGGAGAGCAAAAACAACAGCAGTCATTTCATTATCACTAGTGAGGCCTTGAAGAATTTGGTTATTTCAAACATTACTCTAAATAAGGATACGTTGGTAAATTGAGCCCCACAATCTGCTGGTTAATGTGCAGTGCAAAAAATATTCATAGGAAATCAGGGGTTTGTTAAAATGTAACTTCCTGCATTATTTGTCTTTTGGACATTAGAATCATCTATCGTTCTACGTTCACTGTGTTTCATTTATCTGCATCTGATTTTCAGAAATCTTGCCAATAAAATTTTTAGTAGTATTTAAATGTTTTTGAAAGAAAGATAGAAATCCTCAGAGGAAAAAAAAAAGTAAAACAAAAAGAACAAAAAAACAATTGGGGTCAAAAAGAGAAAAATACAGAAATAAATGCTACAGAAAGATTAAAATAGACGAGGTCATGAATTTAACTTCGGTCTCTCATTGGAATTACAAAGCAGACTCCTTCTTATAATTAAGAAAGAACCTTTATATAACCTTCCTATATCTCATGTTCCTTTAGTTGCTCCTAACAGACGTTTGGCCTTCGTCTGCTGCTGACGAGGAAAGTTTGTAGGTTCTCATTGGAGAGGCAGTGACGCTTAGCTGGGTCCCACCATCTAACTGAAACTAATGGCTTTAATAACTGTCAATAAATCATTTACTAACACTTTACAGATCAGTTATCAGGCTGTCAAAATCCAATGGCCGTTTTAATTTAGTAAAAAATGCGCTCATCCTAGCTTCTCCATGGTATGTTCTGGCAGCTTGTTAGTGCACGTTAGTACATATGCTTCCCTTTGAAACTGTGGGCCCTTCCTGTATTTCTAAAAAGACCGAGATTGACCTCCCACACCACACTGGAAAAGGAAAAGTGCAAGTATTCAGTAATGTCTGATAACTTGTTTCATTTCAGCTGCGGCTCTACTGTGCTTCTCCTTCACTTCGGTCTGTGTGTATAACAGACTGGAGTCAATAGAAATAAGTGAAAGGAGAAGAAACAGGTGAGGTGAGGATGTTACTTGAGTTGACAACAACTCCATATGGCTATTTAATGTATTAAACAGTGCTAGCTGAGGTTGGATTACTTTTCATTATGGACACAATTTTGAGATGCTGGTGGTCTATCTTCTGAATCTGTCATACAAAACCTTTCTTAAAGTTTAAGTCTACAGTCATTAATACTGAAGGGAGTTTATACAGCCTGGGAGTCCAAACTCATTAATTTCTTATAACTACTCTAAATTATTAGTATGAGATTCATTACATGTTACTAAAGCCATTAGTTCACCCGTACAAACGGTGTCTTAGTAGAAAGTGGCACCTTTGGCCTGTTGGCCACTTCATCTCACGTGAGGGTTAACACCAGAAATGAGCCCTGTGTCTGCTGTACATGCTAACAGAAAAGTAAAGGTCACTTTTATTGGTGTTTCTAAACCTGACAGATGTGTGTCAAAAGAAAATCCTTGACATGGCACAAAGACTTTGTGTAGTCACCATGTCCCACAGCTGGAGTAGCTCTGAGCTCCTGGTCATCAGCTCCACTCATAATGAAAAGTAAGATTTATTGAAATGATTGAAAAGGAAGAGACTAGGTCCTACTGGGTTGCTATAATGTGGAAAATGATCTGATGAATAATGATGACTGATTATTAAACCATTAGCATGCTCAGCGGGCACAGCTGTGTGTTGTCCCCTCATCACGTGTAAGATGTGTGATGAGTTTTCTGTATATGTGACGTGTTTGTGTGTCGAACATGTGTGTGTCTACATGAGCGACTCCAGGCTCTCTGCGATGTTGGTCTGCCCCAGTGGTACAGATCCATTGGTCTCTGGACTCTGCAGGGCTCTCTGGTCCTCCTGGCTGCTCACCAGGCTCAGCACAGCTCGGTACAGATACTGGTACTGCTCCTGTACGGGGCAAAACATAGAATCAAGACACCTTGAATGTAATCTAACACACAGTACCTGCCTTTTTCTAAATTCGGGTAATCAGTACTTACAACATCATTAAATACCCCAGGCCTCATGAGGTTGGTCATCCGAGCCACCTGATAGACGTCTACAGCTCCCTCCTCCTCCAGCTGACTGGACAGCGTGGTGAGAGCGCAGAACAGCCCTGATGTAGCACCTCCCAAACTGCACACACAGACACACAGATTTAACCTTGCAAAGAAAGAACAACATGTCAAATGAATTATAGCTCTGAGCAACGAGGAGGGGGGCCGAGCAGTTCAGAAGGGCACAATCGCCATGGCAACTTGTTCTGATCACGTTAAAAACATGGCTGAAAGCACTTATGTCAACTGAGCAAAGAGTGGGTGTAGGTGATACATGAGGTCACAACCTGCCAGGGCTGTTTGCCTGCTTTGGACAAAATGATTTATGATGAGTTCAGGATCTGCAGGCTCAAAGGATGACAGATAAGCAGGTATCGATGCTCGCACATTACAAATAAAACAACATATCAGCTATTCTAAGTAAGAAGGCATCACAGTTTGTTGTCTCATCATACAGGAATCACTTTTGTGGGAAACACATCAGCATTTACAAGGTTCCCAGTCAAATGACAGCATTTGTTGCACATCTTGAGGAAGGTCCAGTCCCTGTTGGGCATAGACTGTACCTGGAAAATGGCTTTGGAAATGAAATAGTCTATTTAACCTCAACTTTTGTGATGATCTGTCTGATGCTCAACATAAAGTTCTGTGAAGATTTGTGAAGATCAGTGAAAACTTTTAAGTTTTTGGTTAAACAAGTGCACAAATGATGCATTTTTTATGCCACTCAAACTAGGGTTCCATATCCAAGTGGCTAAGATATGACCATAGATTCGAAATCAGTGGTATTTAGCTTTGCCAATGATTTCAATCAAAGTCCATTTGATAACCTTTGTGAGGCTTGGTCTGAGGATCATCTGTGCCAAATTTGGTAGAGGAAAAAAAATGTGAAAATAATTTGTGGCCTGTGAATTTTTGATAAATTCCACCATGGTGGACGTTCACATCGCATAGGGATTTGAACTAGACTTGATACAAGGAATCCAACTGTAACTCTGTTTTTTTGTTTGTTTGTTTGTTTGTTTGTTTTTAAATTGGACACATGGTTTAAAAGTTGCATGCAAAAATTTGTTTTGTTTTTTTCATTGGTGGCATTAGAGCTGCAGACATGAGATTTAGTGACAAGACTCAGGGGACTGTCCCTAATCAATGAAAACGTGTTGACATATTTCTAGTGAGTGCTGTTGACTCCAAATGCAGAAGAAGAAAGATGATGAATAAGAAAAGACAAAAACAAAGTTGGTGCCCCATGCAGCTTCCCTGCTTAGCCCCTAATGAGGGACTGTGTCTGTCTCATACTCACGGATCATGTATGACTGCGGGTCCCTGTGTGTGTCTGCTGTGCTCTTTGACTGTGTTGACGAGATCAAAACTGTTTCTGATGGGACTGTCTGGGTTTGGCCAGCAGGCAGCGCTGTACTGACGCACCTCCAACACGTAATTACTCTGGATGGATATAGAGAAAAACAGAAGGCATTAAAATGTGTGTGACAGGACAAGTGTGTACCTGACTGTATTTAATGTTTTGATAACATGTACTATTGTGTGTGTGTGTGTGTGTGTGTGTGTGTGTGTTACCTGTGGAGACTCCACTGTGAAGTCCTGCACCAAAAGTTTCTCGTCATTGGAGAGACATACGTGCTCCTCCCCAGAGTACAACACCGTGAAACCATCAAAGCTCATTGGCTGGTCTTTACTGGGCCAATAGACACAACACTCCCCCTCTTCAACCTGAATACACAGGAAAACATGTAAAAGTGTTGTGATTATGTACAGTAATGTATGAGTACGATGTAGCATGTGTGTGTGCTGTACCTGATTGTGTGTGTCTGGCAGACGGACAACAGTTTGTGTGTTGTGTTCCCAGATAAGCCTCCAGAAATCAGCCACCGTGCTGCTCAGAGGAGTCTGGCTCACTATGAACTCCTTACAGTAGTGGTGTCCCTGCAGAAACAGGAGCAGCATCAAACTACCAGCCAATGTGTTGTTATTGACTTAAAAGAGCTAATAAATACAACACTTCCAGTCGCTTACCATCACGTAAGAGGCATTGATGTAGCCTGTGGAGTTTGTTTCTGAAGCGGTCAGACAGACTCTTGATCTCTCCACTTCACAGAAACAAAGAAACACAAATAAGCAATACAACACCTGAACATAAGCCAACAAACTAGAAAGTGCTGCATTCAATCTACCACTGACTTAAGGATGTGGTTTAAAAAAAATAGTTTATGGAGGAAATAATGAAGCTGTCAAAGCCTTTCTTTCACAATCTTGAAATTACCCAAAACATCAATTATAACGTCCCAGAATGACACTGAAAGTGAAAGCATCATTTAAAAATTGCAATGAGGGCTTTTGCCAGCAGCACAGCATCATGTTACACTTAACAGCCACCCATGTTACAGCAATGAAAGACATTAGTGGGCATTACAAATCTGAGAACCTCAGCTTTTAAGCCAGCAGGGATGAGAGTTAAGAAAGTAAAAGAAATTGAAGCATCTATGATTTCATGGTAGAATATTACTTTGCCCCAAGTTTACTGTTTCCTAAGTTAATTAATTAAACTCAATATCAGCTGTAGATTTAAAAAGGTTCCTCCTCAAGAGAGACCCAATGTAATAAACCAGAACCACCTTAAAATCCCCATCATGTCAGCTGATACTGTGTTTCTCTGGGGCTTCTCATATTAGCGAAAATACTAAAATTAAATTAAAACATATTGTAGGTAGTTGGCTGCTTTTCCCAGTTAGTAATCCGTCCCTGCTTACCAGGCATCAGAGCTCTGGCTCTGTTCCTCTCAGCGTTGCCATCTTTCAGGGCAGTGCTGTAGTCGGCGTGCTTCGCCTGACGCTGACTAATTAACTGAAACACAAAAAGAACACAAAATGTGTTGGCTGAAAGCCTGAAATGTGAAACCATTCGTTTTAAGAAGTTTATACAAGGTGGGAGGAAAAGGGAAAGTGCTATACCTTGAATTGCTTGTCCATGCGTGTCCTGCCTGTCGCCCCGGGGGTCAGGAGGTCCGACACGTAAGTGTGGAGGACGTCAGAGGTCACCAAGGTGTCCCGGCTCAGGACAGCCTCCACCAGAGCATCATGGATGAACACATACTGCTCCTAGGAGGCACGGAAAGAGAAAGAAACTCTGTTGGGTCAGGTGTACTTGCAGAGTGTGTGTACTAGTGTCTTTATCAGAATCAGTTTGAGTTTCAGACCTTCAGAGTGACAACGTTTGAGCCCCTCATTTGTCGTAGCACTATTAAAAGACTATCTGACAGTTAAAACTTCAGGATTCAGGTTACATTTACATCTAGATCAGGGTGAGGGTAATGGACTACATAATGCATAATGTCAGTGAGTGTCCTAACAAAGCATGTATGTACATATGTTTGTTTTTCCACAATTTTAGAGCACATTACTTTTACATGCCCCAGTGGCAACCAACAGTTGCCTCACTCTAACCCTTACTGTGATGAAACACAGTGTTTAGACTTCACTTGAATGATTTACATTTTGGTGGCTTTTATTCCCACAAAATGTAAGCAGATTTATGTCCCACAACATGTCTTTGCTTACCTCCGTCTGAACCAGGAAGTTCCTCTGTGTCCGGACATGTTTCAGGAAGCCAAGAACATTTACTGTCCCTTGATCCTGGATCTGCTGAAGCATGCTGTCAATCACTATGTAGGTTCCTGTCCGTCCTACACCAGCGCTGTGGCAGACACACGGCACATGTTAACTCTACATTCCTTATATGGTTTTCTTCAGTATGTAAGTATTTCTTTTAAAGAGGATGTTTTAATTAGTGCACACAAGCACAGATGCATGTCTTGTACCTGCAGTGTACCAAGACAGGTCCCATCTCTTGGGTCCGGGCCCGAGAGGATGCTCTGATGAAGGACAGGACAGGCAGAGTGTATTCAGGGACACCCATGTCTGGCCACTGGGTGTAGTGGTAATGGAGGACTGTGTGTTCAACTTTCCTTTGAGACACCTGTAGCACCAGAGAGGGTGTGTTTTCAGTTAGAACTAAACCTCACATTCACCGTGGACTGTCACTGCAGTCACTGTGTGTCAAACAGCAAGAGAAGAAACATACCTTATTTGTGGTGTCCCTGACAGTGAACGTCCGCAGTGTGTAGTAAGCAAGTGTCTTGGTGTTTTTCAGGGTCACCTGGTAAGGGCCGTATTCCTCTTGGTTCTCCTCTGGCCAGTACTGGTCACATTTTGTCTGTGGAAAGATAAAAATGACGATGATATGTACAATCTGCAGATATTAATCCTGCAGTTCAATTACAGGCTCGATATCTTTGCCCTACATCTTAAAACACCAGGCAAAAATGTCCAAGAGAATCCAGCAAGAGTGGGACTAAACCAGAACTACTGCAGTAGCTTCTACAACTTTTAATTTTTCAGACTGCAGTAACACTAAATTAAATATTTTATACTATCCGGTGTAGGAATGTAGTTGGTGCACAAGTTTGAACAGCTCCTACCCTTCCTTTCTCCTTGAGATTGGTGATCATGACAATAACTCCAATGTTCTGCTGCCAGATCATCCTCCAGAAGTCTTCCCTGCCGGCTCTCAGAGGCCCCTGGGCTGCGATGTACGCCCTCGTTCGCTCATAACCCTACAAAGAAACATCTATTTGCTCACAACACCCTGGATATAATATATGCAGTATGCACATAGGAAACATACTCACATCTACAAAGTTGGCATTGATGTAGTCTCCGCATTTCCCATCTCTGTCCAAACTGTTGGAGAGCTTCACTCTACTGTGGTCATCTGAGAGAGGAAACAGGTGATAAGCTACTTTTCTGCTGGCTTGTACAATAAAATGTAAAACTATGACCATATAACAGAACAGTCACATACAGGCCAGTATGTTGATGTAGCGGTTCTTGCTTTTGTTGTCGGGGTGATTGGAGCTGTCGGTGGTGATGCCCATATCAACTGTACACGCCTGCACCTCCTAAAACACAAGAGAATATAAAATATTGTAATAAAAATAGGATTCATCGCTCAGACGAGCACTGCAGGCAGTTGTGAATACCAAATGAGGCAGTTTTTCTTTTGCACAGGAAGGTTTGCTATCTTTTGGAATGCTGCATTAGCTGTCTACAGTCATAACTTATAGTGTTTACAATGAAGACAAAACAAGACATAAGCACTTATGAATGACACTGTCATTAGACAGCGAGGAGGAGTTGTGAACAGAACAAAAACAAGAAGTCTGTGAGAGAAGAAGAAGTAAAAGCACATCCTATAGGATTAAAGTCCCTGGTTCAGACACTATGCAGGAGAAATTCTTTATCTACTGAATGTGAGCTCATATTTAAACCCCATATTTCAATAAAACTGTATTAGTTCCAATATTTTTTCTTCACAATGAAAACACAATTACACAACAATAGACTTAGAAAAAAGTGTGTTTCTTTCAACTGCAGCTGCAGGATGGTAAACATATGTTAACTGCCACTTACATGGCACAATGAAAACTACTTCATTTTGTCAATAAAGGGTGAAACAAAGGAGATTTTGCTTTAGAACAAATGTCATTTTCTTCTGAGTTGTAAAGAAAGGACAAGAAAACAACACCTCTGCAACTGGAGAGGGATGGCAGGTGTCTTACCTCGTAGGACTCTTTGACAATCTAATGGAGGGTGGTGAGGATGTAGAAAGCACGACGATGGTGGTGGAGGTGGTGAGAGGAGAGTGGGAAAGGGGGACAAGATGACAGACAGACAGACAGACAGACAGACAGACAGGGAGTCAGTGCAGGTACAGGAATTTGGGGTTCAGATACACACAGAGAGGCAGTGCTAAGTGGGAAATACACTGCTTTTCCCATCTGAGCTGTAGACTTTAAGCTCGAACTATGTCAACGATATCCTATATGCTGATTTTGCAAAGGCTTGTGACTTTTGTTTTCTCAAGAAAAATTAGCTTAAAGCAAAATTTATTGTTGCAGCTATAGAGAAAGTAAAAACACTGTTGCAAAATGTTGAAAAACTCACAAATACACTGGCAATTAAGAGGGAAAGTAAACTTACTCCTATCTGTGTGTGTTACGTAGGAGGTTCATGCTAGGAAACAGAGGTGACTAATGCCATGCAGATGTACCTGCTGTTCAAACTAATCCACAAGCTGTTCTCAGACAGCTAACCAACATTCAGATACGTCAATACTCAACATGAGACATTTCTAACACCTTTTTGAACATTCAGTACGAGCAGAGATGGAGAAGCCCAAAAGCCTGCAGCAGGTAGTTTTCATCTATCTGTCCTAGTCTGTGCAAAGCTGTCTGTCAAATTTGAGATCCTATTTTCAGTGTGACGGGTTTGAATTTAGAGTCTGGAATGACAAATATGCTGCACTGCCAGTGTTAGTACCAAAACGTCACTCCTACATACTGATGCACAACATGTTGTACATGGAAGTTACACATCAACACTGTGCTAAATGATGCTCCTAAAGAACATGATGTTAATACAGATATGGAAGAGCATTAAAGAGTGTGACAAATGGAAAAATACAATCTCATGAAACCTCCTTAAAGTTTTCTTTTTTTTTAAAAATATCTTGTGGGGAATTTTTCTGAACTCAAATACTCTTATTTAAAATCCCACCTACCTCAAACTCCTTGGAGAAAGTGTTGGTGGTGTGGAGCTCCATGACATGCTTCACAAACTGCTTCACCGTCAGTGGCTCGTGACCGTCTGTAACACAAGACTGAACATTGAGCTGTGCACTTAACACCCCAGCCTCACAGTGTTTCACACTGCAAGTCTAATCAAGCTACTGACAAATCTGACAAGTGTGTGTGTGCGTGTGTGTGTGTGTGTGTGTGTGTATGTTACCTGTGGCCAGCAGCAGGGGTGTAGACGGAGCAGACAGCACTTTAGGTGATGCGCTATCGTCTGGGTAGAAATTAGCTGCCTGGAAACAGTTTCTGTGACGCAAACAAATCCAACTCTCAGTGAGGTGCAGGGGTGAAATGGATACAGACGCAGTGTGTTTGTGTGGGTGTGTACCTCCAGTAGATGAGTATGCCCACCAGTACCAGCAGACAAAGGATGGTGAGAGTGGAGACGACAGCCAGAGGAATAACTGTCCTCTTCTCCCTCTCCACACCTTCAACGAGCCCAACCCGAGACTCGTGGCTGCTGTTGCTGCCCTCTGAAAGAGAGGAGAGGCAGAGGAAGAGGAGTCAGAACTGGTGGTTGAGAGAGAAAAGGGTGGTAGAGAGCCAGACACAGTTTTCAAGGTCAAGAGTGAACTTTAAACATACGTTTGTTATTTTCATCGCACAAAACAAAAGCTAAGAAGGGCTTTACACAAGAAGAGAAAAAGGAAAAAACAGCCATGTATGACTAAATGTTTTAATTTACCTTTTAACAGAAAGTTCGACATTACAGTTCACTTTACTAAAGATTTTCAAATGTCTGCTCTGACCTTTCTGACAGAAAATATCTGCCAGACATTAAATCTGCCTTAATGAATTTGTTGGCCACTTGGGGGCAGCAGAAACAAGCTGTAAACACAACGTTGCTTGTCACTGAAGGAAAAGGAAAGGTGGATAGTCTCACTTAGCCAGACTATTCTGCAACAGATAACATAATGGCCTGGTTGCACTTGACCATCATTCTGCTATAGTGAAAAAAACAAATAAACAAACAAAAAAACACCCTGGCTTGTTGGTATTTCTTTAAACCCATCCCTTTTGGAGCTCAGCACAGGATGAAACTTCTGAATTCACTCAAAATAGTCATGGGTGGAAATGTTTTGGTGGAACATTTATCTGCAGGGAGGTGAGCACTGTCAATAAAATGGCTAATTAAATGACAAAAAGACTAGTCGGGCTACCTTAGTGCATGATCCAAATCTTCAGCAAAACTTGAAAGTTTCACTGTGGTAGGTTGTTGTGCAGAGGTTGTCTTTTGTCATAGATTTTGAAAATGGTAACACACAGAAGGAGAGAAGAACGTTGACTGAAATAAGCAGCCAACAGCAGGCGTATGGTTGCAGGACACATAACTTAAAACAGCACTGACTGTGTCCCATTAAGGTGGAATTATCATGAACAAAATATGTGTCACCCCACATTTTGTTAATGTTCTTGTTAATCTGTTGGCAAGATTTATTGCTTTATAGATGTGTTTTGGCCATATAACAAATGTAAGGCCAATATTCACTGTTGTTTTAGCTTTGGTTTGGTCTGGGTCTTTATCCACTACATGTCCAGCTGCATTCATTAACTCGTAGCTGCTGTTTGGTCCTGGGCAGGTAGAGCACAGTGGGTTAATCAAAAACAGCGGTCTGCTTTAGCTGGGAATGATAATGATGAATAAAATACCAAATTTGCAGGCTGCAAAATTAAAAGAATGAGTTGAAAGATGCTTAGAGCTCTGTAGAGCTGCGGGGACGCTGCAGAGTGATGAGTGGTGAGTTTGCAGGATGATAGATCTTGGACGTTTTCCAAACAATTGGTATCGATGACTATGATACTGGCCGACGGCTGTGCTGCCTCCACCGATAAGATGAGGTCACACATCAATGTTCTGCATAGATAGTGTGTGATTGTGTACCTGCCACCAGCTATATCTGAGTTAAAGGTACTTTACACAGTGCAGCTGCATTCATAAATTATGAGCATACTAAGGTTGTTGGTTATAGGGTGGCATTATTATTGCAGTAGAGTCAACATAACTGCTGCTGCTCTGTCAAATGCAGGCACAGGGGTGATATTAATCGGCTGCTCCAAACTATCTTTCTCATGCCAGCCTTTAAAATAACAAGTGGCCACTTCCACATGACACACAGTCATTTGATCCAGCTTTAAGGTTGTATGTTTCCACCAACAACAGCAGTACAGAGTATGGTTTTTGGCTGCGACCACAGCAAACTAAAAAAAAAAGAAACTCTGCAGGTTGTAGTTCTATGTGATGGAAAATCAACAACCCTGTCACATTACAAAGAAGTAGGGCTGAGGAGAAATCAAATATAGTGTAACATTTACCTTGCAGTTGTTGATCTGTTGCCTTGTTGACATCTGTCAGTCTGTGCAGAGGAACAAGACGCCCCAACACAGTGCTTCTTGCAGCATCAAACAACAACCCATCCACACCTGAGAACTCCTGTAAACTGTCTGTCGCACCTCCTTGTACATATTCTTCACTCTCTCGGCCTCCATTTCTGTTTTCACCTCTGTCCTTGTTATCCTCCAGAGTGGACATGACACTAAAAACTGGACTGTCAAGACTTGTGTTTTCATCTTCTTCATCATGACTGCCACCATGGCCATGCTGTTTGCTGCTGTCAAACACTGAGGACTCTGCTGTGGGTTTATTTCTACCGACAGGCTGCTGCAGACCACGTCTTCTTTCAGATACTAATTCTTCACTGCTGTAATCCCTCCTATTATCTCTGTCGCCAGATTCATTTTCACCTACAGCTTTGAAACCTTCTTTATCATCATTAACTTCTTTTGGATTTTCTTTGACATCAAAATCACCGTGCTCTCCAGAACCACTACCACCCTCAGCCCCACTGCCACTCTCACTAAACACTGTCCTAACTACAACCTCAGTTTGTTTCTCTTTTTCTTTCTGCAGGTTGCAGCCTGCTGTGCCATTGAGCTGTCTAACGCTCTCATTTGCTTCCCTGTCCACTTTGTTCACTGTCTGATTCCCTGTGTCGTTTACTCCTTCTCCTCCTGTCTTTTCTTCTCCCTCACCACTTAGCTCACTTTCATTCACTTCTATTTCTTTCTCTGAATCTGTTTCACACTCTGTCTTGACACCAATTTTCCTTCGTGCTTCATCTGTGTCATTCTCTCTTTCAGTGGCAAGTTTAGTTTGTGGTGCTCTGCTCTTTCCTCTTGTGCTAGCCACTTTATATCTAAGACCAGAGCTTGCAAAAGTAGAATATTCGGTTTGAACCGTAGCAGCTTCATCCAATTTCTGATTGAGCCTCTTGTTGTCAAGGCCAGAGCCTGATCCACTGCCTTCTGTTGGACTGTCCAACAAATCCAAATCTTTAGAATCAAAGAAAGATGTGACTGAACTGAGGGTGTAGCCGTCTTTATGTCTGTCCACTCTGGCTTCCACTTCATTGCCGTGATGCGACAAGATGTTTAGATCATCTTGAATCCTGCTGTCACTTTCAGTAAAAGAGGTATTTGAGTTATCTTCTTCAACAGTGTCTGTTTTTGATAAGTTGATGGTACTTGAGCCATAATCAGGAAGCAAAGTGAGAGAGTATGTAGCGATTAACTGATCCTGAGAATCCAAAGTAGTAGAGATTTGAGGGTCTTCTAAGTCCATCTGTAAAGGGACAAAAGAGGGTTCTTCAGAGGGCTCGTCATCATGATGAAAGATAACACCGCTCTTTTTGTTTTCCTGGAGGGCAGGAGAAGGACGGAAACTGTTGCTGTATTCATCCAAGGGCATGAGTGATGGAGGTGTGACACTGAATAAATCTCCTTCAGCAGAAAATGTCCCTTCAGGGACAGGGAGTGCCGGGTTGGCAGTGTTGATGATCATTCCACTTAGGGCGTTTTGAGAGTTTGTGAAGCCAGAAGACTGATCAATAGTTGAGTCCTCAACTCTGGATGTAGGTGTATTTGCTGCAAATGAAGCCAAAGTGAAAAAAAAAACATTTCCAGGAAACAAATTACAGATAAGTGTCCTTTTAAAAAAGTGTTTTTCATGGCAAGAAGGTGGAAGAAAAGGAAAGAATTGAACTTCCCAGATATGGTGCATGTGAAAGTTTGTTTGAAGGTACAGAGTCTGAGTGCAGGCAGAGCTGGCAGTCATCAACATCCCCACAGTATAGTCAAGAAGAGAGCCAAGAACTGGAAGTTATTTTTCCCATTTGTGGATGAAAAGATGCCATAAATGGAGAAGACTAACAGGTGAGACGCCGTCATGGTAAAGTGAACCGTGCATTCTTTGAGAAGGACAGAGAAGAAAAATAGAACCACCAGAGAGCGCTGCTGAGCCACAGAAAAGAATTCAGACACACAGGGAGTCCCAAAAGTAGATACTAATCACCAAGATTGAGTGGATTCAAGTAGATTATATTGAGCCAGGAAAAAATTTGACCTTGTTGAGTTACATGCTGAAAGATTTGAGTCAAACATATTGAACATCTGAACCAAATCACAGAGTGAGGAAGCCGCTGATCATCACTGCAATCATCATCAACGCCACCTTATTCTCTTTGACCACCATCACCAGCATTAGCCACATCATGTCACGGTACAAAACGCCACCCTGACCACAGAGCACTGCAGTGATTAGCTGCACTGCACTGGAGCCATTAGAGGAGAAAGGCAAGCATCCACCGCAATTAAGTCCAGCCGTCTACCCACCACAGAAGAACATGTATTTATACCACGCTGCTTTCTATGGTATGTGAGATTTATTTCAACAGAAGCTGTTCTGGAGTTTTTGGTCTTACCATTGAACATGGGCTGAGTCGTATGCATCAGCACTCTGAGCAGAGAGGAGGTGGTGAATGTTTTGTAGACTGAATTGGCAAGTGTGTTGCTGGCAGTCGCTGTCTTTTCCGTGATCCAGGGAGAGGAGGGGGTGGAGGACACTGAGGTGATGGTTTTTTGTAAGGGTTTGATCACAGGGGCATCGCTGTCTTCAGAGGACGACAGGGAGCCTTCGTCTTCTTTATCACCTGAGGACAAAATGTACATAAAGATGACATGATGGGATGCGACATGTGTTGTGCCCTAACATGACATGGCATGACAAGATGTGACATGCCATTTAAGCCGGGCAATATTACAAAAAAATCCAAAAACAGAAACCCAATCTGAGCAATATTCAGATTTTTAGATCTTCATGTCTACAACAAAAATTCATAAATCACTGACAAAATATGTCCTGGGTAATTATGGAGGAAGCTGAGTAAACACTTATCGAACAATGCATCTTGTCTTCTTTTCAAGGCGCTTTGAGACAGCAAATTTAAACACATTAAAATTGAACAGCCACCCAGGGGAAGATTTTGCAGCTCACAACAGTCTTTTCTTTGTCTCATCGAAAATAAATCATCCTCTTATTTGGAGATTACCGAATTCTGACCCGTTTCTGCTAAACCTCCTCTTAGGAGAGGTAAGGAGATAAAGAATAAACCAATCTAAGACAAATTATCCTGTCCAGTTTGAGACTAATGGGAGAAGCACAAGATAAGCAGGAATTCTTTTGCTGTGCTCAAAGGCTTCTCAGAGATTTCTCTTTAACAATCTTATGGAGCAATAAACGGACAAGAGAAAAATCCCAGATGACAGCGGTCGACAGGCCGGATACACTCCGGACAGGTCATCAGCTGATCACAGGACGAACGCTGAGAGACAGACTGACAACCATGCATGCTCATGGCCAATTAAGAATCACCAATTAACCGACCAATCATGTCACACAGTGAGAACATACAAACTCCACACAGACTGCAGCTGACCACCAAGTTCAAACCCAGAACCTTGTTGCTCTCAAGCAACCACTGCACCACCGTGGTGGCTGGTGAAGCTCTCATAACGCACAAATTCTTTATCGTAAATTTAGAAGAAATATAAATAAGATTTCATCTAACAGATGTGCACTGAAAGAGAATTTATGTGATTAACATGCAAGCAGTGCTTCCTCAACATTAACTTAGCTGTGATGCAGCATCACATTAAGAACATCACCACGACAGCTACACAAAAACCAACAAGTCACACAGAAAATGAACAAAACTATGCAGTGCCTGCTGTCACAGGCATGTTAGCATCAGCCAAGATAGATGTCACTGTTACGTGTTAGACTCTGAAGAAAGACTTCACAAAATTAGCAACTGCTCATCTTAATGACTTCAAACTCAACGCTGCACTACCTCAGGGTTCCAGCAAAACACCCACCAAGTGTGAGGAAGATCAGATGTACGGTTATCAAGTTATGCAAGGAACAAACACACAGAGATTCCTTCATTGATTAGAGAGAGATTTGTGACAAATCAATAAGAAACACAAGCTTATATATTGATCTGTGAAAGTGTAACAACGGGCTGCATGGTGTCTTGGTGGTCAGCACTGTCACCTCACAGTTAGAAGATCCCTAGATCTTTCTGTGTGGAGTTTGCATGTTCTCCCCGTGCAGCGTGGGTTCTCTCCGGGTTCTCCAGCTTCCTCCCACACAGTCCAAAAACATGTTGAGGTTAATTGGTGATTCTAAAATTGTCCGTAGGTGTAAATGTAAGTGTGCTTGGTTGTCTGTCTCTAAGTGTGGCCCTGTGATAGACTGGTGACCTGTCCAGGGTGTCGGCTGGGATTGACTCCAGCCCCCCCGCGACCCCAGCGAGGATTAAGCGGTGTATAGATAATGGATGGAAGTGTAACAACTCAGAGAACAGATAAAATATAGGGATAAGACGTGGATTTGATCACTGATACAAATGTCTGATATTGTGCAGGCTCCTGTATAAGCCAGTAAAGTTTTCACTTCCTATTAGAGCTGATTATTTCAAACAAAGTGGAGCAAGAAAGAAAAAAGAGAATTTGCAGATCTTTAATTGGGATCAAGCTGAGAAAATGGTCAAAATCTTAAACCGATGTTATATTAAATTGAGTGATGTGTAGGAGAAAAAGACTGGTTAAAGAAGATTTTCCTTTCCTCTGGCATTCCCTCTAATGATCACAACTTGAAGCAACTTAAATTAGTTTTAAATGTATGTAAATGAATTTAAAAAGGATTGGTTTCCATTTTAAATTAGGCTGTGAACAGCTAAATGTTTGGTAATAATTAAAAGTGTCTGTCTTCATAGAACTCGTCATTGGCAAATGTCCAGCAGACCAAAATATTCGGCTGGTACCTAGTTAAACATTTATTAGATTAAATTCCCCCCTGGCATTGCACAAAATCTGTTAAAGCTGCAGCGATCCAAGATGTTTTTGGTAAATGAGAGTGTCAAATCTGACCTGGCACCACAGAACCAGACACTGTTGGAGTGGAGCTGATGGGTTCCAGTGGAGAGCTGTTCACTGTGTCTTCATAGAAGACATCTGTGACTTGGATGTCCTCCACAGGAGTATAGAGGTCCGACTGCGGAGAAGGGAGGCCATTTTCCCCGGCTTGGTCTGCTGGACCGTGGTCCCTCGACTGCAGCCAAATAAAAACAAACACATGAAGAAACTCAAGGATACGAGACTAATCTTGAATTAAAACATGCGACTCTGATATTTTAGGAACCACTGCGAGCAACATTTTGTATCTTAAATGTTTGTGTCAACATTAAATTTATTTCGGTTTAAGGATGAAACAGTCATTGAAAAAGGGAGGTGTAGAGAACTACCTGATGTGACAACACTGACAACGATGCCTCCTCTGTGATTTGCCGACGGACTGCTGGCAGAGCGGTCGTCCGAGCAACCGGAAACAGGAATCCCGGCTGCTCAGTTACCTCAGTTACCCAGATGGCCCCATTGCCATCAAAACCCGGCTTTGTGAAGGGCCGTTGTGTTGGGTTCACCTCGTCCCCATCGATCCAGTTCAGATCCGTATCATCATCAGTCTGAGACTTCTTAGGGTCTGGCTTCTTTCTCACGTTCTGTAGAACTACAGAGTCAGAGGGAGTCTTTGGGGTCGAGCGGGTGCCGACCTGGACCGGGACGTTCGGGTTTACTTCAGCCTGATCTACGTACAGGTCCTCGTGGTGTGAAGGCTGGTTCTGGTAAACTCTGGTCTGCTCCACTGGGATCTCTTCCACTGGACTGTGGTCCTCTGGAGTCACATCCACTTTATTCTGGTTGTCTGGCTTCTCCCATTTGGATACAGATAAGACCTAAAGAACGAATGAAAGCTGCTGTGTGGAGCTGTCACAAGATGTTCGGCTGTCTACCATGTGTAGAGAGGGCAGGAAAATTATGCTTTCACCTCTTCTTCCTTAAATGTGGTAAATTAATTGACACCGAAAACGGGGAAGACGTTGTACTGGTTGTGTCAGAGAAAGCCTCACTACGACATTACAGTTTTTCTGTAATCTCACCTCAACATGCCCCTCATAAAGTCCCTCATCACCTCTTACACTGCTCTCTAAACACTCAATGACAAGCCTCTATGAACATAATTACATGAATTTGCATAATAATTAGGTTCACTGATATAATTGAATACAGGGCAAACGTCTGCACTGCAAAATAATTATGCAGAATTCAGCACAATTAAGGGATCAGGTGTAACCGCAGATACACAGCCTGTCCTACCTCCCTGTTGCCTTCAAAATCCTTCGTGACGGGATCAGGGTCGGACTCACTTTCTAGAATGAGAAGACGGGAAGAAAAATTTACAACTGGGAAGGGAACAGTTCAGATATGTGTTCTTACTATGCATGAGTTTGAGTGTGTGTGTGTGTGTGTGTGTGTGTGTGTACCAGGGTCTTCTAACGGCATGTCCACTATAATCTGGTCGCTCCATCGTCCTCTGAGTCCGTTGGTGCAAAAAGCCACCACCTGAACCACATAGCTGCTGTTGGCCAGCAGGCTGGAGATGATGGCGCCCTGCAAAGTCACACAGGTGAGTTTAAATGACTGTTGTTTTTCTTTTTTGTCTAACATTCAAATTATATGTCATGAGCTAGTATCCTTTTATTAATACCAGCTTTCATGTTACAAATAAGGTGATTTAAATTGATTTTAAATGGGATGGTATTTAACACAAGCAGATATTGTTGCAGTAACGACCCTGGGCTGGTCGCTGTGTAGCATTGGTCTGTTTAGATTTGGTCAAGTTTTCATTCCTGTTACCACTTTAAGTGTCTGTCTGTCTGTTCCTGACTTACGGTGTTGAGAAAGATTTTCAAAGCATTTTTGCAGAACATTATGACGCCACAGTAAAGTTGACCTGTTGGATATAAATTCATACTTCTATTGTATTGAACATTTGTGTGAATTTTGTCAAAATTAGTTTATAAATTCTCCAGTTATGGTCTTGTTTTGTGAGTGGTAGTCTTACATAGCAAGACCGACCCCCACAGAGCTGTGTAAACGTTGGCGAATGATCTGTCTGCACCTCATTTCTAAAAAAAAAAAAAAAAGCTGTGGCTGGTTTGTGTTTCTTTAAACCAATCACAAACATCTTGGGTAGGGATGGTACCCCAGCAAAATAGAGGACTGCTTTGGTGGAATATTTGGACGCAGGGACATTAGTGCTGTCACTGAAATAGCTAACGGCTAGCAGAAGGGGAGGAGAAAACCATGCAAAACGGCAAGTCAAAACCCAAAGTCTACATCCAGTAAACCAGACTATGTGAGTGGTTGTTCCCTTTGACCACCAAGGTCTAGCAGCAATACATCTGTAAGTCCCAGTGAACATCAGCGTCAAATCTGAAGAGAATACCTGAAGATGTTCGAAAGATATATGGGACAGACAGTCAATGCAAAAACATAACGCCTCTGGCCATGGCTGTCGTCGATGTAGAGGCATAAAAATGTTGAAATAATAACTGAAAACTATATTAACAATGAAAAAAATATAAAGTATCTAAGCAAAAGGTTTACATTTGTTCACATTTCTTCATTTGTGTTAGTCTGAATATGTATAGTCTATATGCAGAGGGTTGTTACATAAACACACTCAGTGAAAACACAGATATTGTCACAGCAAGCGATGTTCAGCGACCCATTAAAAGGTCAAGATTGACTGTCATCATCAAGTCATCACTAGGTCACGTTGATCAATGCAGATTCCAACAGCACCCACACCATGACACTGACAGATGGAGAATGAGGGTGGATGAAAGGATGCATAGAATATAAGAATTAGGTTTCTCATATTTTCTGCAGGAATAAGGGAATGACTGCAATTTCTACCAATTACCTATTTATCAGTCAAAGTACCTGTGTGGATGTTGGATAATGGTGCAAAACATGAGCGGAAATTACATACAGTCAGAGGTGAGTGCACAAATGGGAGCTGTTTTGAAGCAGACATGCTCCTCTGTTTTATGAAGAGATCTTACCACGTCCTGGTCTCCATCAGTCCTGTACTCCTGCTTGATCTGGTCTCGGCCCTGCAGCCTCTGGTAGGTGACGGTGTACCAGTCGATGGTGGTGTCGTAAACCACACGAGGACGCTCCCACGTCACCACAATGGTGGTGTCGTTCTGGGCATCAGCCTGAACGTTTTCTGGCTCTGAGCTGCAGGCTGGAGAGACAGATTGGTTAAAAAAATAAAAATAAATTATTTTGTGCACATGAGAAGCAAGAAAAACACGATAAAAAGTCAAAAACGAGACGAGAACACCGATAACATGTGAACATCTAAATATGAACACCACATAGACAGTGCAACATTTCACACTGAGTTCAGAGTTTGTTGGAAATTTGATGCTAATCGGCTGTACTGAAATTGGAAGAATATAAGATTCCATCTTAAAAAGCCCAGCTCAGGAGGTGAGTGTGGCAATGAGTGGGTGGTGTATGTATGTATGTGTGTGTGTGCGTGTGTGTGTGTGTGTGTGTGTGTGTGTGTGGCTGCATGAATTTGTTACAGGCAAAAAGAGCCTTTTCTGAATTTCTGAATACTTTATTTCAATTTCAAAAAGAGCTGCAAAATAAATTGCCTGTGCTGAGAGGAGCAGGGCCACTGAACTACAAAGTCGAGCTCCCTGGCAACCCAAAAGACCCACTTTACTTCAGGGTCGAATTTATGAAAATGGACAGCATCATGAATTGTATCTTTTGATGATCATGATGAGGCTGACCTTTTAGGACAGCGTTTGAGCTGCAGTGGAAGCAGGGGACTGGCAATATTTTCAGTCACAGAAAAAAACAGAATTAATAATGCAATATTTATATTGATTCTTAAAGGGAGACTCAATTTTCTCCACAGTGTTGCACAGAATTTAATATAAATTAGATTGGTGAAATCTGTGGAGACTCTGGGTTGAACTCTTTAAAGCCTAAGTAAGAATTTTTTATGGAATCATAACATGCTGCGTCTGCTGGGAGTGAATAGCATTGTTGATCGATACCAGTTTCTCAGCCAGTACTTTTGCTGCTGAGATCTTTGCCAGTCGGTTTCTGTGCCAACTTGTATCTAAAATTCACTATGAAAAAGCAAATGATGGTACATGATTTTTCACTACACGGGACTATAAAGTATGGCATTAAATTAGGCTCAGTGAAATTTATTATCTTTTAGTTTTTATGCTGCACATGTATTATCCAGAACCTTGACCCTGTGTGTGCACCTAGCAAGTTTGCTAAATGGCCTATAGAGATCAGGTTCACCTTCATGGGTTTACAGTATCATTCTGAGGCGTTTAACCATCAAATGTTCCCATCATTGATCAATCTGTTAATGATTATGTCTAAATAGTGATAAATCAGTTCTACATTATTTCCAAAGAGAGTTGCTGTAGTGTAAGAATGTGTGTTTGGGTCAATAACATGGTTGATGGGGTTCAGGAGGACGAGACAAAGACTAGTTGAATGGTACTGCTCAACAAAAATACCTAAATATCATTTATTTTTTAAAAAACCCTCAAGTGAAAATCTATTCTTTCAGCTTATTAAAATATACATATGGTGGTTTTTGTGTTTTGGGTTTTTTTTAAAGGTTTTTTTTGGGGGCCTTTTTTATTTTTATTTTTTATTACTATGTAGGACAGTAAAGAGAGAGACAGGAAAGTGGGGAAGAAGAACGGGGGAAGGACCCACAGCAAAGTGTCATGAGCGGGACTCAAAGCCACAGCTGCTGCATTGGGGACTATCGCCCCTGTACATGGGTCGCCAGCTCAACCAGGTGAGCTATAACGGCTGCCCACAAATGGTGTTTTTAACATTATGTTTGAAATAGGCAGTCAGTTTTTCAAACCTGAAACTGCAGTGCACCGATGAAAATTTCAAAAACAGAGGTTTAGACTTCTAAGGCTTTTTACTTAACAAGCCAAAGGAGTCAATCCTGACAGCGATAAGGGTGGGACTTTCTGTTTTACAGTGTTTGGGCAGAGTCACAGGTGAGAGATACAGACTGAGGCAATCACTTTATTGATCTGCACATTCTATAGGAAACAATGGTGTAGTTACATGTAAGCCAGTTTCAACACATTTACTTTAACAATGTACTTGTGATACACAGAGATGAGTTTTTATGGGTTAAATCAGTGAGGAATTTTAACGAAGTTGCAGTTTGAACAGACTCAGCTCAGTTGGCTAAGATGTGTCAAAAGCAGAATCACAGGCTCAAATCTGGTCTGTGTTTTCAGAAATAAGGCAGAAATACAATAAATCAGTGGTTGTACTCGCTGTGTCTGTGTTTCTTCCCACAGATCCATGCAGTACAGTTCATCGTTTTTCTCTCCTCTCACCCCAACTGGTCAAGGCAGATGGCTGCCCAGCCTGACCCACGGTCTGCCAGAGGTTTCGTCCTGTGAAGTGTCCACCGTTGCCAAGTGCAATGGAAAATTGTTGGGTTTCTCTCTATAATATTGTAAGGTCTTGACCTTATTATGTAAAATGCCCAGAGATGGTAAACAGATAAGAGACAAATTTAGGAAAAAACCTGAATTCTTGACCCCGGTATTTCCAGAGACTTGTAGGATTATTTTCAAGGTACACTGAAGCTGTTCTGGCAGCATGTAGTGGCCAAATAACTTATTAAAACACCCCATGTTAGTTGTTCACGTTTATATTTTGTATAGATATATGTTGTGACGTGGCTTGGTTTGATTTTAAAAAATGACTTGAATTTAAAAAGCATTTAAGAGCATAACTTTTCACTGGCACAATATTACATCTTTAAAATATTAATGTGAAACTGTGGCAAAAATAACAGATTTTGATTTCTCTTATGAATCACAGTCACCTAATGGTTAGGGTGTGTACAGTTCTGTCAAGGTAGTGAGGACCTTTGTTGATTGTCATCCCTGTACATCTTCCACCTGTCCTCACTCTCAAGAAAAGCTGACATGATGAAAAGTGAGAAAACTGAAGTGAACAGAAATGAGGTGATTTGAGTTAAACTGAAGTAGAAAAAAAAGAAGACACAAAGAAGCAGTAAACTTTTTGTTTTGTAATAGGTGGTGACATACTGGGTGTGAGCACGTCCTCGACTCCGGTGTAGGAAGCAAACACCTGACCCATGAACTGCTGCTGCTGCTCACGGAAGTTGTTCTGCAGGTAATCCGTCAGCATCACGTAACCAGCCTGCTCCATGGTCATCACCTCACAAAACACCTCCAGCTGCCAACACACACACAGACAGACAGAGAAGATTGAAGAGAAGGTGAACAGAGAGAAAATGGCACCTGAAACAAAGCAAACAAACATGTGTCTTTTGCATCTTCCCTGTCTGTATGCAGTTGCCAAAATAAACTCAGAACTGATGCTGTGAGTGTGTGTGTGTGCTTAAGAGGCTTGTGTTGGTGCCAGGCTGAGGCAGAGAGACAGCGCTGCTCTATTTTTGGTGAGCTCGAATGTGCCCATGTCATGCCTTGCCACCCCGTTTCAATCATGCAAACACAGACAAACACACACAAATATGCACGTACAGTACGAGTACACATAACCACTGGCAAGGCCTCATTCGCTCTCCATTATTCCACTGCAAAACTGATGATTATTACACAGATGATTTCATCCAAAGTCACACTTCCTCAGGGGTCTTTAAATGTCTTCGCAGTGTGAAATCACACTGCAGCAATGCTACAGTGTCAGCTTGTGTTGCCTTTTCTACCACATCAGGCCACAACAAAACCCTGCTCAGTAACTTCTGACCAAACCCGTCACACTGCATCACTTCATCGTAACATTTTGTTTTTGTTGTTTTGTGCAGATGTCAAAGACAGCTGACCTGAAACCAGCCACAAACTACAGGCAGACACAACAACCACAGGCAGCAGTGACACTTACTGTGGACAAGATGTTCCTCCGTTTTCAGAGATGGTGTTTTTAACCTGAATACCAACGCTATTTTTCTATGACTTACACAAGAGACACAAATGTGACGGCACGTGTCCAACATCAAAATTTGCATCACAATGCTTACAGGCTCCCATCAGACAACGATACTATCTATTTAGAAGTTGGAGCTGCTGTGGCGGATTTCAAAAGAAGCTTTTTGTGACTGTATCTGAGCAGGAGAATGATGAAAATGCATGAAGGTACACTCAGGGGAAAGAAGAGTGAATGAAAACCAGCGTCACTCAGGTTTTCTTATTGAGATGTTAGTCAAGACATCAGCGTGACTGCCAGTGGACACCTCTGTGTCTGTGTGTGATAATATTTACCAACCTGTGTTTCTGATATGGCCACAGTGTGTTTAAAGACGATCCATTCCACCATTTCAGAGCAGGGAGGAGCAGTCAGTGATCCGTTGTATATGTAGTATTTATCTGTGTTATTAGGCAGCAAGGACCTCAAGCTGAACGCCTCCACTGATCCACTCTTACCTAGAAAACAGAACACATTTTTGTCTAAGCAGCTAAACAACCTGGGACAAAGCATCTTACAAATGTCACACTGTGTGTTGTCTAAGACATGTATGATGACTTTTAATAAAAGCTAATCAGTGATCTTTAGGCTTTTTATCATTTCGGAGAGGAAATTATCATTTATAATAATGTTTCCGCATAACCCTTCTCTCACTTGCTCCGCTGACCTGCTGTCTGTTAAAATTATAATAAATCACCTGTGCAATTTTTGGTGTACCCATTCTTTGGACTTTTTGACCCATAATAGGGCTGTGAAGCAGTTTGTCTATGAGTGGGTGTCTGTTTTATTTGCCTCATGAAAATGCATAAAGACACAATACGCAGTCCTAGTGGTGCCACACTAAATATTAGAGGTCTTAACGGGTTCAAAAACTTGTGTCGAAACGAAACTAAGCATGTCTCTATCTTTTATTAGAAACCAGGGATCCGGAAACATGTGGAACTGGGAAATGCTGGACTTGACCCTGGCCAAGAGACACGGACCCAGTTGGCATCGATTTCACAGCAGATTAAAAAGCTATTGTTAAGTTGTAGAGACCAAATTTATTGTCTTATCAAATGAAACGTTAGCAGCCTTCTCCCCTGTGCCTAGCCTTGAAACATAGAAGGTTGGTAAAATACACCCAGGCCTGCTGATTGAAACAGCATGGCTAATGCTTGTTTTATTTCAGCTTAAAAGTCCGCTACTCTCTTGGACTCGTTTAGAATCAGCTTTGCAGTTTTAGGGTATCTAGCAAAACAAAGATAATTTAAATCATTTGAACGATAAAAGCAAGCAATTGCTTGTTCGTTACCACCACTGCTAACAGTAGCATTGCTATTATACTACTATTTGTTGCTGTCTGATCATCACTGGGTCATTTTAGGAATCTACTGGGGTATTACAAATAATGTTAAACTGACCCAAAACCTGTGGTCATGAACCTGAACACAGTCAAAATTTTAGCTTTAAAAAAACATATTTGTCAATTTTTCCTGCTCTTGAAAGAAAAAAAAAATAGTGTTCAGTGTTAAACTGACAAAACTACCGAAAGGTGTTTATATATGTTAACACACCTCTTTTATTTGCTTGCATTTTGTGATTTGTTTGCACATTTTTGTTGAATATATTTACACATTTCTTCATCTTCTAAAGCATTGCTGGAAATATCAAGAGAAAGCATTTCTGCTGCACCTGTACTAGGCTGCATGACGCATGTGACAAATTAATGTCTTGAGCCTTGTTTGACACAACATTAAGGGTTTTAACCCAGGCTCTCCAGCTGAAGGCCAGCTCTGTCACCATCTGCACCTGGCTACATGTTGATTTTTAACAAGCTGCAGCACAGAGTCATGTAGCAGTGACCTACCAAACCTGCTGACAGTGTCGATGGCCTCTAGAACAGGTGTGAAGTTCTCATTATCTTCCAGGCTAATCTGCAGACAAGAACACAAGCTTCTATCATCCATCTCATAGACAGGCATTAACAATATTACTCTGACTTTATTTGAGGATACAGAAGGTTTTAATCATCACATCAGCCTACCTCAAAGAGCACAGCCAAGGCAGCCACCCTCCCTCCTTCCTTTATAGCATCATCCAGACTTTGGAAGTCATCTGGATCGTAACAGTAGATCTGCATCTGAACGACAGCCAGAAACACACAGGTTACCTTCATGTAGGGTTTATAGTTTGACAAAACACATGCTGTGTACTTGTGTCCTTTACCTCCAGAGGGTATTTCATCCCATTCAGACTGTGTTCAGACCCATCTGACGTTGCATTGCAGCGTCCCCAGTGGAAGGTGACTCTACTGACACGAAACCTGGAGCTCAGTCCTCCTCCACTCACAAAGAACTCCCCATCCACATCGATGGACACTAAAAAACACAAACAGGTACCGGAGTTTAACCTTAACAAATGATGAGCTATATTTTAAAGGACTTCGGGGCATCAACTTTTTACTAGAGTAGGAATAATCGTTGGTGCCTTTGAGGACTCTGTGTGACCAACAACACTCGCTGGCTTCAAAGCTACGACCAAATTCCAGCTCTGAGCTGCTGGCACGATGGTGGCAAGTGGTGACGTTTAGACTCAAAACATTACTTTCATTGCATCTTTGACATCGCAGTCAGTGTTGCAAAATCAATTCTATTCCACTGTGAAAAGGACATAAGAGTGTGTGGCTGCACAACGTGTTTCTGCATTAAATGTGAATATTCTGATTCCATTTGCAAGGTATTCAGAGAGTTTTAATTTGCCATCTCGGTAAAATAACCATTAACATAAACAATACTTAAAGCGGCATTAACAGATTTTTGGCCTCTTGGGAGCAACCAAAACAAGCTATAATTGCACGTTATTACCATATAAAGGCAATAATAAAGGGTGGGGTTGCATAATTATGGCCAAAATAATAACAATGACCATTTATCACAGTTATGTGTATATATACATATATCTTTTCTGTGTACCCCCCATTCATAAGCCCATTTTCATATTCTGTTTACACTATTCTCTTTTGTTTGCACTGTTTCTTATATTTATACGTACATTTTTTTCTGTCTCGTATATGTGTATCTCTGTGTTTGATGCTGCTATCAACAACGTGAATTTCTCCACTGTGAGATAAATAAAGGCATATCTTGTCTTATCTAATGAATATGAATGTACAATGTACAAATCTTTGCATGAAAATAAGACTTAAAATAATCTTCAACTGAATTTAAAACATCACACGAGGCAAAATACTAATTGAATTGTACCTACAACTCCTCCTCACTGAACTTGCTTGTCGATGGACACTACATTTTACTGATCTTTCTGAAATGTCTCACATGCAGGCTGTGGTAATCGTTATCTGGGAGACCGTGCACAAAGAGGCCCTCAGTCTCCCTACACAGTTACTACAGCGCAGCAGTTCAGACAGGTGAGTGATCGAAAATTACTTTTAAAGAGTGACATAAGGTGTTCTCATGTCAGATTCACCCAAGTTGAGATCGAAGGATTTTATCAGCATGGGTAGTTTTCTTGGAGCAGAGCACAACTTTAAATGTCAATAGCCCATTCGGTGGTGCTCATTTAATTGTGGGAAGTCAAAAATGGTGATTAAGATCAATATCTGATGGATTGTGCAGCCCTAATAAGGTCCTATATTATTACCCTGTTGTTGTCTGTCATAAAGACGAACTTGTCAGCCATCAGTTGCTTATTTACACATCCAGCAGCTACAGAGCCTTTACTTTGGTTACAACACAGATGTAAATCCAATATTCACTCCCCTTTCACCTTTATTGTGGCCTGCAGCAATTCAAGAGGGGAAATATTCAGCTCTTTAGTAGCTTAACATGTCATTATGTTCACCAGCATGTTGCTACCTTTGTAAGTCTGCTGGCAGGCAGCATCTAGTATGATCAGCTTGTGTTCTGTGTTATAATCCTACACGCAACTCTTTTTGAAACACCTATCCACTCCTAACCTACAAAAAAAATGAAAAAAGCAATTTAACTCTTCATTGTTTATTTATTTCGCTGTGAATAAACAATAAAATGTTCTCAAATCCACTTCATTCTATTTGCCTATTGGAGGCACGTGCGAACATCAAGAAAATAATTTGTGATGTGATTTTCTGATGCTTGATTTACTTTGCTGAAGGATATCTTACAGCATTCAGCTTAGTGTAACTGTGCAGGTCATATATTTCTCTCATTATATCCTGCCAGCAATGTAATATCTGTTTTAATACGCAATTTCCTTTCTGACTTCACAGAGCAAAAAAAAAAAAAAGATTAATTTCTGGACTATTACCATTTAGAGACACACACACAGACACATACGTCCACAGCTGAGTATTGGAAAGATGGTGACGATAGCTCAGACAGCTTTCATTTGTTTATCACGCCAGATATCACTCCACATGGCGCTTCTCCTCTCGCTGTCTCTTCACATCGCTCTCATTTCTCTCCCCGGTTCCTTCCCGCTCTATACATTTTCCCTCTTGCTCTTTTGTTGCCTCTTTTCTTTTGCTCAGTTTCATCTCTGCCTCTTGGCATTGATCTTCCTCCTTTCACCACATGATCTCTCTGTACCGCTGTCCCTCTGGTTGCTTCTCTCTCAATTACTTAGTCTTTTTCTCTTCCTTCTTTGTCTGACTTTTTCTCCTTTAAATCCTAGCTGCTCTCTCCTTCATTAACCTCTGAGTTGCGAACCACTTTTTGTTGCATCTGGAAAGTTAAGCTTCTTTCCACAGCCAGGGATTAAGATGTTGTGCTTTACGGCACCAGAATAATGTCAAGATCATTTCCATAGATTGAGTCGACTACATACTGTATCTACCTCCTGCGCTTGCTGCTTTAATAAGCTTTTCTCTCAAATTGAGAAGATAGAAGGTCAATACAAGTGAACCAGCTAATGGTTTGATTTCCTGCGGGGTGGGATTCTAAACGTGGCTTCAGCTGCAAGATTTCTGAACACTCTGATTAGGGTTGTAGAAACGTTTTGGTCATGGTTGAATAAAAGGACATTTCATGCTTGGAATTTAAGCTGACTGCTTGAGTCGTTTCTCAAAATGTAAATATCAGTGGAAGTCACACGAGAGAGAAAGTGGAACATTTTGGACGTACCAGTCTTCCCGTTGTTGTGGATGGTGGTGGACTCTGCTGTCAGTTTGTCCCAGCCCTCTAGTTGTAGGTTCTGGTACTGCAGCCTGACCTGAGTAAACGTCTCGTCGATGTCCACAGGAGATTGCCTGGCACTGTTGCAGGACGGATACTTCTTACCCCAGTTACGCTGGTTCAGGGCACCTGCACATGGAGCAGAGATGTTAAAGATTAACTTCAATCAAGCCATTGCTGTAAATAATCCAATCGATTAACAGTATATGAACAGATGAGGCAAGAGACGGGAAACATGCAGTTTAACAAATGTATTGTGGATTTGCTGTTGTACCTGTTTGCATCAACAGGTGTAAGCTCATAGCGTTTAATGAGAAAGACTTACATGTGTGTTTGCTGACTACCCAAAAAGATTGCTTAAAAGCAGTGCACCTCGATTGCCGATCACTTGCTCAGAGGGAGTCCAAAGGCAGCTTTGGATTGTTGGGTTCTCTGTTGAAATTTGGAAGGTCTGCACCTTACTATGTTAAGCGCTGTGAGATGGCATATGTTGTAAACTGTGCTATACAAATAAAATTGAATTGAAAATTGAATTGAAACTCCCTGCTGTACAACTGCTCATTGTGGTAGTTGTGTTAATAAACTCTGGAGCACAAAGTTGTATAAAAGGTGTTAGCTAGCTATCTAAGGCTCATGCTAACGCTAAACTAGGATTTTTTAAAAAATGCTAATACAGCTCGGAAACCAAGTGTCTGTCAGCGAAGAACAGCTAAAAGTTTAGGAGCAGCAGGACGCTGATTACATGAGTCCAACAACAATCCAACTAAAGTGATGAAGTATATCGTCGACACTCTGAGTATAAACACATTTTCCAGGTGGCAGTAAATGCTGACAGATTACCTGGACTGATAAAGTTGCTGCGACAGTATTTGCGGACATCTGTTCCTGTGGAGCAGCTGTTTCCAGCAGTTGGACTAACCAACGTATAGATCAGCTATGAGGATTATTTTGATATTAAACCACGTGAAGGGACTGAAAACATTATTTAATGTGGGTTCTGTGTAACATGGTGTTTGCTTTAATCTGTTTTTCAAATTCTTAATGTAACTCAGCCATTTTGTGGCAGACTTTAAATTTCAGGAGTTAAAAACTGTTTCATAAACACATGGAAACGATTAATCAATTATTCATTGTTATCAGGCCGACAATCAGTTAAAGAATTGATTCTATAATAACTGTCGAATAATAACTGACAATAAAACTGCAACAGTTTTCTAAGGCTTTAATGTGCCTATGATTTATGGATGTCAGCACGTTCATATAGGACCTTTAATGTATCTGTAAAATACAAATAGACGTGTATTTTGTTCTACACAATCAGGGTGACATCAGTTAAACAAGTCCAACTAAAACAAGGCCAGATGGTCAAACTGTAGGTCAAACATGACTGGGTGGCCTCAGGTCACACTTTATGCTTGTAGTACATGTTCGTTGAGGGTGTGTGTGTGTGTGTGTGTGTGTGTGTGTATTGTTTATGCACCATTTTTGTGTTCTGTGTGTACGTGTATTGATGTCCTGTATGTGTGTGGATATGGTTGCGAATTGTTTTTTAGAGTGCGCAGCATGAAGTCCGCTTAAACATATTGATGTGGTGTGTGTGTGTGTGTGTGTGTGTGTGTGTGTGTGTGTGTGGGTGTGTGTGAGTGTGTGTGTTTTGTTTTTTTTTTACCAGTGCAGCTTTTCGCATGAATAATGTAGAAGAAGATGAACAGCAGCAGGACAAACACAATTTGTTGCCAAACATGCAACACAAAAAATATCCAATCAATGAAGCATAGAAGGAAAAGCAAAAGCAGCATTCTCCTTTGTGAGGGCTCACAAGACACTCATTTAGCATGAATGTTCTGTTATCTATCACAAATTCAAAATATCTGCGTCACTGATTTGCTTATTTATGAGCACATGGCAGAATTTATAATTCATGTTTAAAGTTAAGGGCTCGGTGTGTGTGTGCGTGCATATGTCTCTGAATTTATTTATGATTGCATGTCACAAGAAACTACATTTACATCTCTTGCATGATCACTGCTTTGAATGCATGTGCTCCCTTTTGTTATTTATTTATTTTTGGATTCATACATCCAGTACCTTCCCATTCACGCACTGTGTGAATCTGAGTTTAAAATATTCATTCACAGGTGCGAGTTACGTGTGAATATACTGAATTGCTGGATCCACTCCAGTGCATGCATGAACAGTCCTTGTCTCTGCATGAATGAATGTGTTAATTTCCTGTGAGTTCACATCCACAACATTCATTCAGCTCCTCCGTGCATATTCAGGGCAGGCCCACTTAACTACATTTGTTATTCCGAGTTATATTTTGGAGAAAAACTTACAGAAAAGAACACTGGAAACTGAAAAAGAATATATTTTCTGAAAAAATAAAACATGCATGTCAAGCTAAACTAAATATGTGTTTAGTTTAATTTCAGTGGAAAATGAAGAAATCCTCATGTTCAGTGCTCACTAATAATAAAAACAGATTTTGTGAGTTACAGCATTGCAATTAAATTAGGCTGTGTGCAACTGAGCTTTACTTTGATGTCAGGGATTATTCTGGCATTCTGTTCAACTTAATGCCACATTTCCAAATGAAGGATATTGACATTTGGAATTTAACTCCTTGCATCCACTTTATCACTAACAACCATACAGACTAAATGTAAGGTCATGGTTGGATAAAGAGACTGCATGCTTTTTGTTCAACATGTTGTTATTAGCATGTCCACGTGTGTGTGTGTGTGTGTGCAAGTTTTACCATATACAGTAAAGACAATGAGTCTAATGAGGTCAGAGCAGATGGTTTAACTGTAACTGGTCACACATGACTTAACAGGTATTGGCTTTACATTCCTGCTTGTTTGTGTCTGCTTGTGTGTGTGTGTGTGTGTGTGTGTGAGAGAGAGAAACCTTGTTTAACTCAAGTTCAACTAACTCAGTTTCATTGGATCATTCAGCACCTACAGTTGAAGCAGAGTTGTGAAGACACAAAGTAGTTTACTGTTTATATTCGCATTGTGTACAAAAAGCAGTTGTGTGATTTCCTCCACTAATTCTGTGGCTTCTGGACACAGTTAGAATGACATCTATTGTGCTGTTTGTGAATGTGATGTTAAAATGATAGAAGTATAATAGTGTAGCATGATAAAAATGTAACCCTTAAAGAGGATTAATTCAAATGTCAACACCTAAACTGTCATAAGCTGTAGTTTGAGATCCAAAAAGTGCACATATAAGACCTGAAAGAATGCTGAGAGTCATGGACACTTTGAAACCCAAACAGCCGACAGATGCACCACAAAACTATCGTGCATCTAGTCTAGGATTACATGAGACCTACGATGGTTCAGTGTAACATGCACACAACACAGACAGAAGGAGACACAGCAGCCTCCAGCTGAAATGTTAAGCAGCACGACGCTAACAGGAGTCAAACAGCAAATGGACAAATTCTGTTTTTTCTGTATCTGAAGTAATGTGTTTTCACAGACTGTCACAAACTAGAGTTTACATAGTGCCATCACCACGTTTCCTGCAGCCTCCGGTCACTATCAGTGTGTTAAAGTCAGCCAAAGAGAACACATTTATTGGCTGTGAATAGTGTCAGCTCATGGATTGGATCGCAGCCATCGGTGTGGTGCTAATGGGTGAATGACGGGCGAATTCTAAAGTGCTCTGGATACTAGGCCCCACAGTATATGAATGCAGCCGTTTAGCATTTTACATTTCAGTTTATCATAGACATTAAACAATCAAGATATGTGCTTTATAATCTTTATAATATAATCGAGTAGTCCCAGCTCCAAGGCTATATTAAAGTGCAATCAATCTTCAGCAGAAGCAATGTTTAAATATTCTTCTAAGGGAGCTTTTGTGTAATTCAATCAATTAAAGGGTTGGTTTCCCAAAATAATCAAAAACCATACCAGTGTTTGCTCAGTTAGTCTTTGTAGTGTCGAACATTACAAAGCATCAGTTCCACGGCTAAGTTTCCACAGTATCTGCTGCTGACAACAACTGAAGATCAAAGCAGAATTATCGTCAGTTTGATGTTGTCTTAGAACCTAAAACTTAGTTCTGCATTGAATCACAAAAGACATATTTCCATATAGTTGTCAAGCAAGTTTGAATGTTGCAAATGATTTTGAATCAGGCTTGTTTCTATTAACTGCTTTGGAGGAAAGAAAGTAATCTGTGGCTGTAATACACAGAGCAGAAAAACATGGAAACAAAACCAGTTGTTTGCTAACCACTAAAAAACTTTGTTGAACAAGAAACAAACTTTATCCGTCGACGAGAGAAAAATGTAGAGCAGTCTTTGGGAACAGAAAAGCAGTAATTATTCATTCATGTAAGCTGGCGTTGGCCATGTTTCATGCTGTCTGGAGACAAAGATAATGACAGAAGCAGAAACAGCTTATCATCATGTTAGTTAAATGTTTGATCCATCAGAACTCATTTGGAATAGGTGCTTTAATCTCCTATAAAGTGCTTTAACTCTTGTGTGAAACAGTCAAAAGCCTCCTCGAGAGAGCGCAAAGATGTACAAAAAGTTGTTTTTTTAAATTTGCTGTCTCCATTAACCTTCTTACTGCAATACTTCAAAATGCGCAGACATGCATGTCATGGCTTATGTGTATGATTGATCTTATCAGTTCCACATTTCCATGTTGACGAGCATTTCATTTTAAAGTGCCTTAAATGTGCATGGCTGCCGGTGTGTGTGTGTGTGTGTGTGTGTGTGTGCGTGTGTGTTTGTATTTTATGTGTGTGCATGTATTGTGTGTCGTGTGTGTTGGAGGTATTGTCAGGGGAGTGTCGGTTCACCTGTCAGCATCACAACACACAAAACAAACACACGCACACACCAAGTTGCTCTTCTGACATAACGCTACCATGGCAACAAGTAGCTGACAGGTTGGAGAAAGAAACAAAAAAGATCCCCTGAAGCTAGACTTTAAATGAAGACTCCCATCTTCATTTAAATCCATGAACACTCACTCGCACACCCACTCAGTTAGGGAGTAAAATTCTGACGATTAAATAAGGAGATTAAATTTTAAATCTCTTAGTTCTGTTTGCTTTTTTTTATAGTAGTCCCAGAAAAAGTCTGCTGATGCTTCCCG